ATAGTGGAACTGACCACTGACGACAACAATGGCACCCTGCCAACCGCAATCCAAGACAATGTCAGCCACATGCCCGAAACGAAACGTGACCTGTTGGACTGGCTCTCCAACCCGCGTACTGGATATTCCGAGGAATATCGTGCCCGCGAGGCCGAGTGGCGACGACCAGATGTAAAAAAGCGCCTTGACCGCTTCTGGAACGTTCATGATGCCAACCAATTCTCCCCCAACTACGACCAGGAAGCTGCCAAGTGTGAATCTACTTGGGACAATGCTTTCCACGACCCTTCGAAGACCAAGAAACGTGATGCCCCTGAACCAGCCTCTCGTCCCCTTCCATACAAGAAACCTAGAGTCGACAAAGGTCAATTCCTCGAAGTACAGGCTCAGGAACTCGATGAGCTTGTCAGTATGCTCCGCAGTCCCGAAAAATACACCCCAGAAGAACTCTACGCACTTACAAAGACCGCCGCCTTTGCTTTGAAGTCATTTCAAGATGAATACCTGGCCCTCGATGACCTTTACCTCAAAGCGCATCGACACAAACGGGATGAACCCTCATATCAAACAAAACGACATCAAATGCAAGGTCACAAGAAAAAGGGTGGAGCCCCACTGGCTCACGTCAATGAGGACAAGCTTGACTTCGAGGATAAGAAAGAGGCAATGCTCTATGGTTACAAACACAATTACTTCTCGACCAACACCCCACTTGTTCCCATCCGCACACAGCAGGATCCATTCGTGCAGGGAGGCTTTGTCCCAACTCCCGCGCAAGCCAGAAAGATGATTGCTAAGAACAAGGAGAGTGGTGATCTTAACCCTGATGGGTGGGCAGCCATGAAGAAACATGGCGTTGAGTATCACCCTCAGTTGTATGAACCTCGACGCGAGCCACTTGTGCCAAAAGTCACTCGGAAACGCAAGGCTGCAGAGGTTGAAGTACCAACCAAAACTACTGATGCGGAAGAGACTCAAAATGAGAGTGCGGATGGTGATGAAACCGATGAAGACAACCACCCCGCAAAGCGACGCACCCGTGGCCGTGGCGGCAAAACCGTCGTTGCCGAATCTACTCACTCTGATACTAACTCTCGCCGAGGCTCTGGCCGTGGCCGTGGCCGCGGACGCGGCCGTGGGCTTGGTCGCCTTGGTTCCTCTCGGGCTACCTTCGAAGTCACCCCTGCCCCAACTCAACCCTCATCTCGGGGTCGGGGTCGACGTGGCGCTAGCAGCCTGGCCTCCTCATCACTCCCTCCAGCAGAGACCTCCTTCCCGGCCGTCGAGCCTGTGGCCACCGAAAGCCCTGTCGAATCCGCTCCGACATCGGCCAAGAAGGAGGCTCTCTCTGCAGAGGCGATCGAGGAGGCCAGGCGACAGAAGATCGCCAATTCGAAGAACCCAAAGAGGACCAAGGCGATGCTCGATCACTGGGACCGGTTCAACCGGGAAGGACGCATTCGAAACCCAAAGCGATCCAAGGCCCAAATCGAGCAGGACCGGACCGTCGACGGCGCCGCCGACGAGGTCCCCAAGCCCACTGGCCCCGGCCGCCGCAAGAGGTCGCCCTCGCTGGCACCGCTTGCTGGCAACCTCGCCCCCAAGGGGCCCACCGGCCTGCCCTCAATGGCAAGCGTACAGGCGCAGCAGCAGCAGCCTATGCCTCCCACCCTCCCTCCTATGGGAGTGGTCTCTCACTACGGCCCCGGCCCAGTGAACCCTTTCGCTGCTGCTGCGCCTGTTGCGCCTATGGCGCAACTGGGGCAACCCATGCCGCCCCAGTACGCCCCATTCCCGTACGTCCAGTACCACGGGATGGGTCCCCTCCCGGGTCATAACCCGCGGGACCCACGCCGTTGAGGGCAGGCCGGCTTCGTCGAGGCAATCCCCGGTTTTCCCTCTCTCTCACTTTAGCTATTATCTTACTTCATGTTCATTTCACTTTTTATTTACGAGTGAGAGAGAGGGGACTGGGGATTGCCTCGACACCAACTGATCATTGCTTCTTGGCCCACCCCAGGGTTTGGAATGGGATCGCAAGGACACCCCTTCACCCCGGTTTATCTTGACTGCTTGGTGCTCGGCCCTCTTCGTGACTGGGCTGAGCCCGCGGTCGATACGCCGGGGTGGATGTGGTTCCCTGTGGTCCCAGGCCTCCCTGGGGTGTGGGCTAGGAATGCAATGATCAGATACATTACGAAGATACCGGTGCCCTGGCAGTGTCCGGACACTGCCAGGGCACCAATACATGTACTCTAGGGCGGGAATTCAAGTTGTAAAAAAAAAAATCTTATTCACTATCCGTAGTTAGGTTGTAGATCATATCTTGGAGTTTAGACTCGGGGTTTTGTTCAATATGGGTAGACCCCATGTTATAAATCAGTTGTATGTTACACCTTCCCTGCCTATGTTTCTATACTGTGTGCCCAACACCAATAACGGGGGAAATATCTAGAAAAAAGACTACCAGAAAGATTATCATAATTGGACATTCTACTCCCATGTAGAACATTCTCACAAAAGGTAGCCTAGGGCAACGAAATGGAATTAAAGTGAGGAAATTCAGTTGCAGCAGACAAACCAACTCAGATTGTTTCCCAAATACAAGCAAGAAGATAAAAAAATATCTTCAAACCGCTTTAAAGTTCTTTCACTCACAACTTCATCCTTCATCTAGAGCTAGTCACGTGGTAGTCACGTGATACCGGCTTGCATCATGGCCGGATCTGCGACACACTCCTGAGCAAACATCCCTCTCTTTTGCAACCCCACACACATTTGCGGTTTTCGAATTATTGTTTGTCTCTATCGACACTACAATGGGCAAAAAAAGACGCGGTCCCTCTCTCGAGGAGCTACTCGATCGCCCATGGTGCTACTACTGCGAGCGTGACTTTGACGACCTGAAGATCCTCATCTCTCATCAGAAAGCTAAGCATTTCAAGTGTGACAACTGCAATCGCAGACTTAATACCGCCGGAGGTAAGTTGCATTTTGTCTAGATAAGGTGGGCGCATGTACTGATGGCTTGTGTCGTTAGGCCTATCCGTGCACTTGAGCCAGGTCCATAAGGAACAATTGACTCAGGTCCACAATGCGCTACCGAACCGTATGGGCGTTGATATTGAAATCTTCGGTATGGAGGGTATCCCCGCGGATGTCCTCAAGGCCCATCAGCAGCGTGTCGCTTCACAATTTCAGCAGGCCGAGCTGGATCGCCAGCATGCGACAGGCAATCCTCCTACTGGCGCCTCTTCTGGTGGGCAACCGGCGAAGAAGCCCAAGCTCGAACCCGTTTCAGATCTTAAGAAGCGACTGGCTGAGCACAAGGCCAGGCGTGCGGAGGCGCTTGCCGGAGGTAGCAGCGGCGATGTGACACCCTCTAGTGCCGCTCCGTCTACATCAACACCTGGTGGATACGTAAGTCGTATCCTGCTATTCAATGTGAAGTGATTTAAGAACTAACAGTTGTTTCTAGGCGCCAACGCCTCAGGTCGCAGCCACTCCGCAATATTCTTACCCTCAGCCCTACGGTGGCCCACCCGCTGGTGTGACACCACATTTCTCGCAGACTGGCAGTCCTGTCTATTCGAGCTACTCCCCAGTTGGTGGACAACAGGTCCCTGGTGCCTCACCTTACACCCCATCCGGGTATCCCTCGCCATTCCCCGCCGGACTTCCTGCACAGCCACCAGTCTCCTACGGGGCTCCTCCTTTCCCCCAACAACAACCTCCACCATCCGATAGCAGATTTACGGGCCTACCGGCCGCCTCAAACCTTCCTCAGCGTCCTGCTTTTGCTGTGCCTTCAGTCAACGCGCACGAAATGCAACAGATGCACATGGGACACGTCCCGTCCCCCACCCCCGCAACTTCGGGTTACTCTAATGGATCCAGCGCCCAACCAACCGAGAATGTCTCCACACCTGTTGACAATCAAATTTCAGGCGCAGCCAGTGACGTCGCATCCAAGACAGAGGGTGCAAGCAAACCCAAAAAAGAAAAGACCAAGCCCGCAGTCCGATTGGTTTACAATGATGACACGCTTAGTCCGGAGGAGAAGATGGCGCAGCTACCTCGATATGCATACGTTCCCGACAAAAGCACGCAAACCGCCCTCAGCGAGCTCCCAGGCAACGCAATCGTGGGCGCCATTCAAGATTCCGATACGGTGATCGATCCGGCACATTAAGTTCTGCTTTGTTTTTTCCTACTGCATTTGCAAGTGATGGAGTTACGGAACCCAGCTAAGTCGACACATCAAAAATTCTAGTTACATATGAGCATTCTTCCGGCTGGATCTTTGCTTGTCATCAGTGGCTCTGATTCCAAATCCTAGTCTGGCGAGTCCTCCCCCGTCCCACCATCTCTCTCTCTCTCCCAACAACCCCAGGAAACGTCGATGCTGTTTGTGTTCGATGCTGCCAGATAAAAAGAACATTTTGAAAGACATTGAAGGAGAAAATCGAAAAACTCCCAAAAAATCATCAAAAAAATACCCAAGAAAGATTTGAGATATTCCCTTGAGTCGCTCGTTCGGGGAAGGGAGGTCCAGGTCTAAGCTATTGGCTCGTGAAAGTCACATCGACGAGCCTACGTACAGTACGTGCCTTGCCCTTTGATCCTCCCTCCTGACCCCCCACTGGAGGTTTAACCCTGGAGGAATCTGTTTGATGTGAATGCCTGAGACGGCAAAATGATGCCATCTACGGTCGATGTAAGTTTTTACCGTTTTCCTGGAGGTAGGAAATCCATCTTGGGGCGTTTTGTGGAATCTCATGCCCTTTGCGTTTTTTACCAATACATGTTTTATTCCAGTGATCTTGTCTGTACCTTGTATCCGTAAAGTAGCACCAATCTATGTATACAACATACAACTAAAGTCAATACGCAGATAGCTGATGAAAGACTCAATTGATATACAAGTACCACTAAACCCGAACTAACAATCCAATTCCATTATCTCTCCTACACCCTTTCCATTTTCCTTCTAATCCCAATCACGCCCTCTTCTCCTTAAACGCAAACCCAAAAACAAAAAGCCCATAAGTAGCTAGCACAGACAAAGCCAACGGAACAGGCTTTCCACCCGTCTTAATCACGCGCGGAACAGAGCTTCCACCCAGCACAGCCGATGCCAGAAGACCAAGTTCCTCGCCGTAGGATTGACCGGCGCGCAGACGCAGGAATGAGAGGAGGTAGACGAGGCCGACGGAGACGCCGGCGATGATTGAGGGGAGGGACCCAGTCCGTGTGTAGCCGATTATTCCGCCCAGACTTGTGAGGAGGGAGAGGGCTAGGGCAGAGGTTGTTGGTGGGGCCTGGGTTTTGTTAGCTTCGGTTTTGGTTTGTCTGGGACAGATATAAGAGGTGGGTGGTGGCATGTTGGTGGTGACATGTTGGTGGTGACATGTTGATGGTGGCATGTTGATGGTGGTATGTTGATGGTGGTTTGGTTTCATTGGGGTGGGATTGGATTGCGGGCGGTGGGTTGGATTGAGGGCGCGGTGCGGGGATGTAGATCTGTGGACATACCATCTTGTAGATTGAGGGTGGATTATCTCTTCTTTTCTGGAGGTTTGGAGGATTACGGGTCAAGAGGAAGAGGGTGAGATGAGGAGAGATGTAAGTTACTCAGATGAAGCTCGGTCATGCAATTGATTAGTCAGATGACGAAGTCTGGGGTAAATGTGCACACATAATTTAATGCTTGGAACTATATAATTTATGTGTTGGGATCTGTTTACATGACTACGATTTCAACGTCGTACTCATGGAATGTGTTCATATCGATGTTAATGTGCATCTTGAAGGCTAACTATGCTATCTTTTCGACACTTTATCCTACCTAGGTAAGATAGTCCGTTTACCAGCCATTTACAGCAGCAGCTTGGTCGCAGCACCAATTCGTTCCTGGATGATGGAGCTCCATTTCTAGAAACATCGAAGTTAGAAATTGTACCTAATGTAGAAGGGGTTCTCAAATAAACACATACCTCGGCGTTCTCCACATCTCCGGCCTCAAAACTCTCTACCAATCCAGGGTAGGTGGCTCCGGAGTAACCAGTCCAAATGCCAGGGGCAAAGACAACATGCTTGAACCATTCGCGGCCATCCAGACCAGGCTGGTACAAGAAAGCCCGCTCAATGCCCTTGTATTTCGCATTGGTAACGCGAATCTGGAACCACAGTCTCACCTTCTTCCACCAGTGGTACCAAGGCACATCATCGCCAAGCTGGGACTTCAGGTCTGCAGCGTGGGCATCGAAAGCCTTCGCGGATTCTTGGAACTCAAGAATGGCCCTATCTAGAGGTGCGAAGTCGAAGTAGGTCTTCTCGGGGAGATTGTCCGCCGCAGGCTTAATGTGGTCTAGGTAGGATCCAAGGCCGAGAGAATAGTCTGTGGCGTTAAGCGCAAGAAGAGGAGACTCCACCAATTGTGCCGCTGCCAGAGCCCAGAGCTTTGTGCAAGCTTGATGGTAAAGGAAGTCCTTGTCACCGTACTTCTCCATCCATGCGAAGCTATCGTAGTTGGAGTGGTAGTGGTAGACTGGGTCATTCTTACCACGACCAAAGCCAAAGTCGAGACTGGCGACACCGGCGAAATCTTGGAAGGCAGTGAAGTCACTGCCGCTGCCCATTGTCGAGATTTTGCCACTCCAGACATCGCGGACTGTCTGGCCCCGCACGGTCTGGTTAGGGGAGAGTACCAGAGCGGTGACATCATTGATGACCTTGTTCAGCAAGGGACTGGCCCGAGGTTCGAAGTTGGTACCCGCAGCAGCCACATCGACATTTAGATAGGCGATGTTGGCCTTGGAGAGCCATGGGAGGTATTCTTCTACCCACTCGGTCGAGCCAAGCAGGCCGTACTCTTCGCCGTCCCAGCTGGCAAAGACGACAGTGCGCAATGGCTTCCACCCTGCCTTGAGAGCCTCGCCGAAGCTGCGGACGACTTCGTTTAAAGCAGCGGATCCACTGTTGGGATCTCCTGCGCCACCGGCAATCCACGCGTCACGGTGGTTACCGAGGATAACAACCTCATCGGGGATATGGCCCTTGATGGTACCAATGACGTTCCATAGTGGGGTCGTCACATACTCCTGGAGGTTGTGGAGGTTGATCACCACATCCTCGGGAGATGGTCCGATGTTGTACTCCACACCCTTGTAGCCGAGGCCGCCTCCCTGCCAGTACTTGTTGAAGTCCGACGCTTTGGGGCCGTGACCGTTAAGCGCCTTCAAGAATGGCAGAACCTCCTTGTACGAGATTGGGAGAGATGGGATTGAAGGGATGGAGTTGTGCGGATCTTGGCGTTCAACTCCAGGCTTAGATGCGTATCCCGGGGTTGTGGGGTCACCAGGAAGGATACCTTGTTCAAATTAGCTTTGTAATGCCATTACTTTGGAAGAAAAGCCTTACTGAGGAATTGAGTGCTACCTCTCTGGATAGCGCTGGGGTTCCGTGCAGGTCCATTAGGATAGGCTTCATAGCCATTTTCCTCGGTAATTTCACCATCTTCCTGAGGATCACTGTAGATAACTACGCCGACCATGCCGAGCTCCTGTGCACGCTTCACCTTCAACCCACGGAAAATCCCACCGTACTTGGCAATGGCAATCTTACCCTCCAAGGTGATGTTGGCATTGACAAGGTCCTCAAAGTCCTGGTACGTGCCAAAGTTGACATACACATACTGTGCAGTCACATTGCCGGTAGCAGAATAGCCATGGAATACTGGGATACGGTCTGGCAGGCCGGAAGTAGGATCCTCTTCGAGGACATCCTCCTCTAACGTAGCTTCGAAGGTCACTTCGGTCTTATCACCGGAGGTCTTCAAGAGGGCCAGACGGTGTTCGAGCGGGTAGTTGATGTAAATGTCATACGCCGCGAGCCCGGTATCCTCCACGCCGAATTCCTTCCATTTTTCCAAAGTCCAGAGCGCCTGGGATAGGTTCTTTCCTCCTAAGTGTGGGCCTGCGGTATAGTATCTGCTCCACTCTCGGGCCTTATCTGCGGAAGGCACATTGAGGAGAATCTGCTGGAGCTGTTCGTATGGCAGACCATAGCTCTCTGGCCACGCTTCGTGGGGAATTGGATGGGCACCAGGGAGATAGGACCAAATGGAGCCACCCTCTCGAGGTAAAATGGCCATGGGAAGTAGGAATAGAAGAGTCGCCACGGAAAGCAGGGCTGCAAGGGAGATAGTACACGCTCGACGAAGAGCATGGTGCGGATATCTATGCCGCGGAGGAGCGACATTGACCTCCAGCAGAGGTGTAGTCTCTGAATACGGCATGTCTTTCTCCCTCATCTCGTGTGTGAATGAGGGAAGAGTAAAAATGTCAATCTTACCCAAGTGGAATGCTTCTCCGCATGGTATCATCGACCGAGCGATCACCTTATCGGCTGACAAAGCTACCCCTCACGGGCCAGCCCGCCATAAAGTTGCCTCTTTGGGCCGAAATATTCTCGATCTATGCGAAATACTCGGTTTTTCTCACTAATGGGTAACGATCATGTGCTGATTGGGTCTTTGATTGAGAATAAATATAAGTGGTATTCTAGTAAATATAAGACAAAACATGAGTGGTATCATAGTGGCTGTCTATATACAATCGCTCAGAATGATAAACTGCATGACTCTTGAAATGGGGGCAAAAAGAGATAAAACACAAGTCACAGCCAGAAATGAGATGAGGCAATATAGCACCCGTGGTATAGAGTGTAAGAGAATAAGCCCACAATCATGATTCTTCGACATCTTCCGGTATTGGGACAACATTGAGGTCTGGATGGACTCTTCGACCAATGTCCATACTCTCCCTGATAATCCGACGGGCATCTTCGTCGCTAACTTTCATGTCATCCTTAACCATAAGCACAGCCAGCTCAGGCACAAGGACAGATTGTGTGTAGCCAGCCACGCCCGCCGTCTTGATTAGTTCATCTGTAGTCGCCAGGCGACGTACAACCACAGAAAACCGACGGATGATTGTTTCTAGTCTAGATTGAACACAGATGTTAGCGTAGTTCGACAAGCAAGGGGTAATATACCACATACATTCTGGTTGCACCCCTGGTACCATAATAACCACAGGTCATCGTCTCAAGTGTCTTGTCATCATCCACTCTAACACGGGAGTTTCTCGCTTTCCCTGGTGTGAAAGAGGTATTAAGGATGTTTCGGTAATAAGAGAAAGCACCAGGGACAAGTAGTTTTTCAAGTTCGGGGAAATAGCTCTGAACACGCTCTTCAAACCCATTCCAATCAATGTTGGGGTACCCTCGGTCACGCCACAAATCCATCGCACTGCGGAGTTTGTGTGATTCACAAAACATCATCTGTTCGCGAATACGTTGCTTCGGCTTTGATTTGAACAGTTCTAGCGAAGCCCAGTCTACTTCCTTACGGCATATCGGGCACAGGGCTTGGCTGGGTGGGGATGGTTGGCGCTTCTCTTTCATTGTGAATTCATCAAGCTGCGACATTTCCTCACAAGTGGAAGAAGTCGGAGATGAGAGAGGTGAATCATCGTCAAGCAACATTGCTTCGTATTCTTCCATTGTGTATGGGCCGTGCGAGAAACTGGAGTTTGAGTTTTCCCCGCCACAAGGTTCTCTAAAACTCGAATTTTCAACATCCTTTGGCATAATAAAAGTCTCCTCGGGTTCTGTGGGGGCTTCCTCCACTGGCGACGGCTCTTTCGATTTCTCAGTCGGTCGTGGGGGGAAAGATGGCCTGTTAAAATAGCTCGTCTTGGACACAGACGCATATTTTGTTGCCTTTCGCCGCTTGTGACTCTGCGAGGAGAAGGAAAATAGATCGTCACTATCAGAGCCCATCATAGCACTGAGGTTTCGTGAAAATTCGCTTTTGCGAGGGTTTCGACTATGGGTTTGTGGACTACTGTATGTCTTATCGTTTCCTTCCGCAAGCTTCTCCTCCAAGGTCGTAGTCGTATAGTTCACGTCTTTGCGACATGGGGAAGCATCGCTATCGCTAGCATGCTCTTCATCGGAACTTAGAGGATCAGCATCGGTGTCGATATCCCACTCTTTCTTGTTGCTAGGCTGAGCAGCATTTGAAGCCGGGTCTTCCGATTCCTCTTCATTGTAGCCGAGAGGCGGGGAGCTTGGAGGCGGGGAGCTCAGAGGTGGGGAACTCAGTGGGGAGCTGAGAGGATCGATGTCTGTATCAATCTCTAGCTTGTTCTCGATGCTAGGTTGAGCAACATCCACTTTGGAGCCTTCTGCTTCCTCTTCATCGGAGCTCAAAGGCTCAGCGTCTGTATCAATCTCCAGTTTTCCCTCGTCACTAGGTTGGCCAGCCTCTTTATTTTTTGTCGCGAAATCGATCCTCGCATCTTCAGGCTCAGTTTTATTGAAAGTAGACAAAAGATGCTTGGGCGGAGGATTGCTCTTCGTCATGCGATTGGACGCATAGCTGGAATCAGGTTTGGCCTGAGCCACCATGGTGGACGGTGGAGGATTTCAATTGTCAATTGTCAATCGACAGTTGTGGGCACCAAATCAGGGTGCTGAAAGCTTCAAGTCAAAGAGAACTGATCCGTGTTCATCTGAAGCGCGTTGCTCAGACTGGGGGGAATTCACGGGGCGACGCGTTTTTGCGCGTTTTAAGCTCTCTGGGGAAATGTGTCTGCGGCCAAGTTTGAGGTGAAATGTTGAATTGGGGTTGGATTGGTCTTTTGGTCTTCGAAACAAAGAACACTCGGTTTCGAGAAGCTGAGACAATGGGGACACTTGGCTACGGCGGACTATAGCGGCATATCAGACATCGGGAATTTGATTGGTTGAACCGTCGCTTTTCATCCGGCAGAAAATTATTGAGTATACCAACATCTAACTATAGATCTATCCATCTAGTTAGTTGTATCTATTGTAATACTCCAAAAATTGCATATTGTATAGTGAAAAGTCACTTTACAGAAACTATGCTCCTCACCGTTGTTCTATCGTTTTCAGTTATCCATTTCCAATCATCTTTCTAGCCACAACATTGAGACGGGCCGGAAATACTTCATAAAGAGACCCAAATAGGGCATCCAAAAGAGACACCTAGAAAATACCTATGAAGAGACAAAAAAATCTAATACAGCCGCCTAAACAGACAGCTAAAAACGTTAGAATAATATCAAAATGAGAAAGAGGCGGGGAGCAAGGCGGTGAATTAGTCAGCATTTTAAACCAATCAAATAGTTGCTCCAACTTTATCCGATGTGTCGCTATCTGCCTCCGTAGCCAGCGCCAAATTGAGGGGAAACGCGTGACACGCGATTGCCACTCTGGTTTGATACTACACTTTTGTACAAGTCTTAGGAATATCGAGGTACCACTATGGAATGGATATCCACTGCCAGCTAAGGCTTTCCTATGCTAGCTACGGCCGCTTTGTATTGAAATCTTGAGCAATTTCGCGGTATACAGACAGGTCTTAGGGGGAAAGGCCGCATACTCATCTCTCTGGCGACAGACTTGCCCTAGATCACTTTCACTTTTATGTCTACCCCCTTGAGATCTTCCTCTCTTCTATATCCCACTACTTTCCGGGGACGATATCTACATATGTTGTTCGCAGACGAGATAACTTCCGTCGCGGCTAGGCGCTGGTCGTACATTGAGAGAGCACGAAAGGAAATCATGCAAATATACATTCAAGCTGTGTTTATATTATGCTTGGCCCTCAAAATTGCTTAGGTCTTTCAGCAACGGGGAAACGATAGTGTCGAAGACACGCTCCTCGAACCTTTTCTCGCGACATAGACCAGACCAAGTCAAGCAGCTATTAACCACATCAGCATAATTTGTCCCACTCTCCATGTACACCATTTTGACAAGCCATGACGCGGTATTGAATCTGGACAACAGTGTATCCTGATCCCCATCCTCCAGATCCAACAATATCTGGAGAGGCTTTCCAAGAGATAGCTCCACCAACGCAAGCCCCAGTGGTAATAGACGATTTTCCCCGGGATCAGAATACTTAGTATCATTCCGAGGCCCTGGTATTGCGCTGGTGGCGGAAAGAGGCCATGATAGATATAGATTATCCAATAGTACATTGTCACCGTCGTCGCTTGTAGCGGCCAGGTAGACATCAGAGATGTCCCACCAGGATTTCAACCAATTACCGCCGAATTGGATCATACCACATGCTAGAGCAGTTGCAATATGAAGGCGGTCCCGTCGACTGATATGCGATAGTACCTTACGGAGAGGCTTTTGTGGAATGCTTTTTGGGAGTATCTTGACGGCATGCATCGTGTATTTCACAGAGGCATCTAGGTCATTCGAAATCGAACCTATACTTTTCCGTCGCTCAATTTCTGATTCAGCGATGCAAAGAGACGAACAGAAGTCTTGGATTGGTGGGGCAGATAGAGCCTCTCGACGTTTTTCCGATGACCGTGCTTCCTCCGCAGGAGGCATGTCAAACTGAACCCTAGGCTTCTTCTGATGATAGGACTTGGGGTCGTCATGCAGAGAGAGACTAGCAAGTGTAACTATCTCTTCAACCTGCCAAGGTTCAAACACCACTTCTGTCCAAGTCCATAGGCAGGTTAGATCCGCCTCTTTTGTATTAGAAAATATCATTCGAAATTGGGATATGGCGTCAACGTCGCTGTCGGGGTATTCTTCCGTACTCCGTAAGGAGTTTATTTGCAGCTGGAGGTGGACGCAATGGTGATTCTTGCATTGACAGCCCCAGTATCTTCCTCCAATGATTGCTTTAAACAACCCCTCGGCATGCTTACGGGCCTTTTGATACCGTTTCAGAAGGTAGCCCCAGCCCTGCCGCTTCTTCTTTGTATCTTCTAGATGGAATGAATAGTCGACCAGAGTCTTGAGAATTGTATTGGTTCCATCAATTTTCACGAGGAGATCGTCGTAGACTGCCTTGCTGAGGATCTTTCGAAATTTCCATATGTTCCAGGCTTCGGTGACGGGTGTCGTCTGTTAGGAGAATAAATCAGGTTAAGGACTGATTAGATGGTCATTGGAAATGCCAACTACTGACCTTTGTATCGGTTGCGCCAATATCTAGTTTATGTGATAGTTGTTCCAACAACTCAGAGAGGCCAGCCATATTGCCCATGAATACCTCGTAATTTCGGTCCAGCTTCGAGCGTAGTCGCTTTTGCAAGTCCGGATCCTTCCATCCATCACCCTGTGGATCGCAGATGAGCTCAGAAACTTGATCCTCATCGTTCACGACACCTTCCAAGGCTTGTTCCAGTGTATTCAGTAGAATCGCATGCTGTGTACGGAGGTTTATTGCATAACCTTTAAACTCCCGTCGATAGCGCCTCAGACCCTTGATCTTCTCTATGCCGCGGACGTAGGCATCGATCTGGTTCACAAAGAGCGGGAGAATCGCGAGAGCGAGCCCTGCAGCCTCGATTCCGGTGACCATGTCTGGTTCTTTTCAGTCCTTGCAAAAGAGAAATGGGGGGGTTTTTTCAGCTGAACAAGTGCTTGCGCTAGTGAGTACCCCGCACTAGAGCCGCAATGAAAGATTGCCCATGTACATCCTAGCAACCCATCTAGCACCTTGATAATGCCAGAGGCCTTGCAGCTTCAAGAATTACCGCATAATGGTGGCAATATCGGAGCTGTTGCAGAGCTGTCTCAATCAGTTTCTCTCATTAATCAACTCAGACACGCTCGCCGATCATACCGAGGTCCTACTGCAAGAATGGAGGGACGAACTAGGCCGACTTCGCGTGTGGGCATCAAATATCGGTGCCCATCAGACCCGTCAATCCTCGCTGGATTACCGTCTTAGGGATGCTTCGCATATCAAGAGTCAGGTAGTGAGGCTCTTAGAGCGGTTCCAGGAACTGCTCACTGACCTCGAGGATGTGCTTGAAGAGAGCAGTGATGACGAAGCCCAAGACCATCAATCTGAAGATTTGGGAGATTCAGAAAGCAAGAACTCCACCACCGAGATTCAAGAAATCCACCAAAGCCTCGTTGAGACGATCGACCAACTCTACCAGATGTCCATGATCATCCGCAAACCCGCACAGCATGATCGACTGGTCGGAACCAAAAAAATGGATTCCGAGCCCTTCCAGTTGTGGGCTAAGCAGCATACCTCCACCAGATATCCCAACGCAGATGCGCTGGCTATCAATCGTATCAGTTCCGCAATGGCACGACAGAGGGCGATCTTGAAATATCGTGAACGACATCATGCGAAATTAAGTCAGGGCATCGTTTCCGAGAGTGACGGTAAATCGACCATACTATCAGAAACGGTGGTGACAGATGTGTTTGAGGAGATACCTGGCCAACTTAGCGACATGACCTCCGATGCTGGCGTATCTGAAACTTCATACGCAAGCACCCTTCTCGAGGGCACTGGTGCAGATGCCCCCCAAATACCACCCATACCGAAAAATGGCACAGAAAGGAGACCCTTTGAATGTCCATACTGCTTTTACATTATCACGGTTCGTGACAGGACCGCATGGGCGCGCCATATTTTCCGCGATCTGATGCCGTACGTCTGCATTCTCCCAGGATGCTCGACACCCAACAAGCTCTACGGGGGCCGTCGACAATGGCATCATCATGTCCAGCAAACACATGCTTCAGTGTCAAGTATGGATGGTACATATGACTGTTCTATCTGCAAACAGGGCTCTCTTCCCACTGCCAAGTTTCATCAACACGTGGGTAAACACTTGGAACAGCTTGCGCTCTTTTTGCTACCACGAACAGACGAAGATAAAGATGAAAACAAAGAAGGGACGGATGAGAATCTTAGCAGCCTATCTTCGGACGACAATTCAGTGGAGAGTGTCGAGCAGCGCGATAATATGAACAATGCAGCAACACCAGCTTCCGATTCCAATCCTAGTAATCACAATCCATTAGGAGGGTCAAGCAAACATTCCACATCTTCAGTCGGAGCGAACCTGGGCGAGAGAGAGTCCCCGGGAGATCTGGAATCCAACGTGGAGGACGAAATGCGCGCTTCATCGTCCCCTTACAACCGCGAATACGAACTCGCTATGAGCCAGAAGCTCCATGAGAAGAGCGACCCCCAGCAGTACATAGACATCTGGAAGAAGCAGCAGGATACCGAGCGTCTAGAGCGTGAACCGGAGAAGCACTATGACCCGACTTACCCGCCCGACTCCAGTGAGTCGCAGCTAGTAATTGAAAAATTGAAGTGGTCCGAAGATGAGATCAGTGGACAGAAGCGTGGGTCGGAGACCGGCCAGTATCAGAAGAAGCTTGAAGAAGCGGAGGAATATGCCGCCGAACGTGCATTCCGCACAGAGGAGTCGATAGAGCTTGCCTGGCGTAAGGAACAAAATAAGCTGCCTAAAAACATTAATCAGCAGATTCAATATGAGGATAAGGGAAAGGCGAGGGAGACCGAGGAGCAGAGGAAGGAGTGGCTTGATATAGAGGCTGCTGCTGCTGAGAAGTGGAAGCTCGAACAGGAGCAGATCAAGCAGAGACAGGCGGATGAGGTGATCCGGAAGGCGAAGGAGCTCCGCGGTCACCTTCGCGACATTGGCTATTCCGATGAGGAGATTGATGCTATCATCAATAAGAAAAAGAAAGAGAAGCAGAAAGGCGAGGAGTTGAGTGAGCAACTGCGCACCTCAGGGTACAACGAGGAAGAAATCGAGCATATGCTCCACGATAAAACCAAGGAACAGGAGGAGAAGCACAAGGAACATAAAGTGGAAGAGCCAAGGATAACTTGGATCAAAGTATGAAGTACCACCATCACATCGAATAAGGGTTTCTACTAACACCATCCCCAGTGCCACCGCAAGCACCTGCTTCCCGATACCTTGATAGCCTACAATCTTCCCTGGGACTGGGATGAGGTAAACCTATTATCCTCTGTACAAGCATTTCTTGATGTGACCCAGTGCTAACCCTATTTTCCTCTACCAGCACGACTCCAACTACATCATCATCAAGACATGGGTTGGCGAAGACATCCAAGAACAGCTCTTCGCCCACACCCGCCGCTTACGCGAGGGCAAGCTCATCACCCAGACCTCCAGCTCACCACCGGAATCGCCCACTGTAAATAAGGATCGTAAGTTTTTCGGACGGAAGAAGAGCCCTAGCGGTCGTCTAAGGATATTCAGCTAGTTTAATGAAATTAGGCTCAAGACAATATTGATCTCATCCCTCGTCTTCGATGTAATATATAACCAAAATAATCCACTAAACTCGCTTTTAGTGAAGCCTTTTGAATAATCAATTATATTTGATGGTATTTGATGGATATTGTATAGTTGTACAATTTCTGTCTCCGTCGCTTCCACGGTAGTTACTATAGATAGATTGATTCTACGAGAAAACAGACAAAGAAGCCAGTTGGGCCAATCCGTTTGCGTGTAACTTGAGATCATATCGTGATAATTGTTGAAGCTAGGGCTGCCTCTATACATAGATGGATGGGCATATACACAATCAGATCCTAGCGAAGCCAAATACGCATGTGTAAGCCATGCGCCTCATTAAGTCTCGGAAACCGAATCAACGGAAGGAAAGTATAAGGGGAAAGAGAGGAAAGGCAAGATGAGAAGAACCCTTGAGCCGACACTATTCAAACGTCATGGAGATCTCGCCATCCCGATGTCCCTGATCATGGTCCGCCCAGGCATTAGGCTCCATAGCCATGGCTCCGAGGGCGCTGGAACCAACCGTCGGCATTGTGGAGGCAGTTCTCAACTCTGGACGGGAGTGAATTTCGTCGTGTTGGTATCGTGGGGAGTCATGGAAAGATGTGTCAAAGGTCATTTCCATATCTTCGTGCTTAGGCACGTGAGAGAATTCATTGGGCCCGTGAGGAGAATACTGCCCCGATGCGAGCGGGGGTAGCGAAGAAGTCCGGGAAGCAGCTGGAAGTTCGGGTGTCTTGGGCCTCTTGGATACAGGGGGAGAGGGCTGAGCGGGTTGTGGTTCTGTCGGAGCGTTCAGGTCTAGCTTCATCAGAGGCATAGTCGACTCTAATTCTTTAATTTCGATCGCTTCGGAGTGCAACTCGGCTCGAATGGCCTCGATGTCGAAGAGGACAGTGCCGGGGGTGCTTTCGGGCTCACTGGAATCGCGAGGGGCGGTGCTTTTGTCGACATCATATGTTTCCCACTTCTTCTTTTCGGCCATCTTGCCTCGCTTGAACAGGCCGAAGCGCTTCTTCTCTGGCTTGGCCTCTGCTTCTCGACGGGCTTCATCAATCTCGCGGATCAATTCGCGCTGTCGTTCGGCGTGGTTATCTGGGTCTGGATCCTCAATCTCTGCAAACTCATCCTCAAGAACCTCCCAACCAACTTCCCTCAGGATTCGAGGCATAGCCGTACGATAATCCATGTGACCATTCACAAGCGTGGTAATATCAAAGTTCTCGATGCCCGGTATCCCTTCGACAGCTGCGAGGCCGGCGACTTTCATGATGCCACCACTTGTTGCCCGGAAGAGGTAGCCCAGAATCCAATCATTCGTGGCATAACCATTCACAAACCGGCCAGACACCACACTCCGAGCCTTGAGGTATTCGTCTTTGTTCGCGACAACGGGCGAGCCAAATAGATATACATTCTGAATTAGACCGTGGGCGCCCTTTTCGGCTAGCTCTTTCAAACAAGAAAAGATCACACGCGCACCGAGGGAGAAACCAAGCAATGTTATAGGCCGATTGCCAAGATTCCGCTCTCGCAAGGAATCAGCCATAACGAGGCCGGCTGAGTTGGCGCGTGCCAACGAAACGATCCAGGGATTGTCGATCAAATATGCGAGTTTAGTGAGGACAAGTGGTAGTTGCAAGGATGCCATCAGCGCCATCAGGACGGTACTACCTAGTACTTGTTGCAGACCTTGTGTTAATGCCTAAACGAACCAGTTAGTTTATTAAGAATTACCGCACCTCTTGGAAAAAGCTTACCTCTGTTGCCAAAATATTGATAGTGTCACCCATGCTTCGAAGCATATCAGGCTCCCATAGCACGGAATAGATATCGCCCATGATGGGATCGACAGTACTGAAGGGTAGACGGACATCATCAACCTTGCCAGTCATCCAGCCAGAGACCGTCACAATCAAGTTGACCTTCTTATTATTATGAAGAGGTCGATATTCGAACGTTTGAACTGCACCCATACGCCGCTGCGAAGCCCTCATTCCAATGGTGCTTCCACCTAAAGTAGCACCAGAAGCGATCAAAGCTGTGCCGCCGGCTCCTCCCAGGAATGCACTGGTGCCAGAGATACCGACTGTAGTAAACCCAGCAGCAAGACCAGCTCCGATGACGGGTGCCAACAGTCCAGCGGAAAGGCCAATAACCAGTCCACCGCCAACGGTCGCTAAACCCATAATCATATATTTCCGCTTCAAGGCCATCTTGCGGCGTTTTTCCATGTGGTCTGACTCGTCCCAATTCTCTTTCTCTGCTTGTTCTTGCATTTCAAGAGAGTCTGTGACTCGCTTTTCGAATCGCGAGATCTGTAGCCATGTTACATCCAAAGCTGCGCCGACCCTTTCCAGAAGAGTCCGTGACCGAGCGTCGTATGCTGAATTCGCGATGAGCACAAGGAACAGGTCACAGAGGACAGTCCAGCGGAGATCGATATCTATGCGATCAGAGGTTGGCATCTCAGAAGGCATCTTGACCTCCGGGGGCTCCTCGGTCTCGTGGGCCTGGTATGGCGGAGGGGGATCTAGTTCAGATGAATCCGTCTCTGCGGAGATTCTAGATGGGGAGTCGAGTTTCTGACTGGATGTAGAGGTTTTCGGTTCACTCTCTGCCATCGGATTCTTGACCCGCGCATTCTGCATGAGTGGTGGCACCAGATCTTCTGGTTGCACCCCATGTTCCGCGAGCTGTTCGATCATGATTTGCTCAGCAGAATTGATATCCATATGAGCATAGACTCGTCCCATGATCGCCTGGCCCCATTTTCGGCTGGCATCCGAGGCTTTCTGCATGGTTTTGCGCGTGGACTTGGTTGTGGCAATCGATGCCAGATCATGATTCATATTATGGATTGCCAACCTGACAACCCCCACATACGCGATCTTTTGAGTCTCGTTGAGAAGGTCTTTGGTGGCCTGGAGCTGACTGATGGAATCTCGCATTTCTTCGCCAACCAGACCAGCAGAGTTGTCGCCTGCCTCTCGGAACAGGTAGCTTGTATCGTCATCTAGACTTGTGGCAGACTGAGCATCTTCATCGAGCTGCACCCGAGTATAACCCTTCCCTGCTCCTCCTAATCCTTGATATACAGCCTCGTCGCCTTCTTCTTTGGCGCCACGAGCAACGAGTCTCCCATAGTCGTCATAGTAGTCAAATTCTCCAAGTGCAGGCATCGATTGCCATTCATCGGGCTCTGCGTCTGACTCTTCACTCTCGGGGTGATGTGCATCAGGTTGGGCGAGGCGCTGGTGCGACCATTCCGACACCTGGGCGGTTCTTTGCTTCGATGTTGAGGTCCGAGGCTGGGCATGTGCACCAGAGGCCGGTGAATACTCCGGAGGTGCAGTAGTGTCCTGGGCCTCTGCGCCCTTGCCTCGCTCTTCTGTATTATTCGAATCGACTGGCTCAGGGGCCCCGGAATCCAGCTTGCCCTGTGGCAACTCCGGCTCTTTCTCCTTTTTCACGGCGTCACTATATCCCGTCGAGCTCACCGTCACATTCTGAATGTTTTGGCTTGCATTCTCTCCTTCGGAAGTCTCGCTGGGTGCGGGGTCGGGTCGGCGTGCTCGAATGGGAAGGCCAAAATCATCTACTTCATCTGATGCGGGAGGATCTTGTTTAGCAGACCCTGTAGCAGGCTCGGATGCTACTGTTTGGGGCGATGAGCCCTCCGTCTCTTTTCCATTTTGATTTGTGGGGGATTCGCCCTTCGATTGGGGCTCCTGCTGGGACGAATTGGTGGCGTTCGGTGGGGAGGGTATAGGATGATCGGAGGTGTCTACGGTGACACCCGAGGCTGCGGTCATGATTTCATGGACTTGAGGCTCTTGGGGGCTTTAAGGTAGTGTATCGGATCCCAGTTGTCCCTTGCGTCCTCACGTTCCTTCGCGATACCTTCGGGAGCTCACCCATCCGGCCTCACAATTGTTGCGTTGAGCTTTTGAGCTCTTATTTGGGTGTTTGTTTTATCACGAGTTTCCCACGTCCGATTGTAGGCCACTAGATGGTCGGACAAGCTTGAGCAATCTCCGGCAGATGACGGTGTGCCACGCGGCGAAAAAGGAGGGGCGGAGAATGCGGCGGAGAGATCAATTAACCAGCACAGCAGCCACAACAAAGGATTCAAGTCAAATTTGTAATTAAAAAGGTTTAAAGAGTTATTGAAGAGAGAATACTTGGAGGTTTGGGGGTGGAGGTTAGGCAGATAGCAAAAGGAACTGTTGAGGGACCGAAAGCGGAAATGCGCCCATCGAGTCCGATGCTAAATAAACAAGTCTGAATGAAAACAGTAGGTATTTAAATACTTGAATACTATATACATTCTTTTGAATATTTTTGATATTCTCTACTCTTCATTCTATGGGAACGTTGCACACTTGACAGGTCAAGGGTTGTAGGATCCACGTCGAAATAGCTGCATGTCTACTCCATACCAGGTTTGTGGCTGCCTTATTGTATTTTGTTGAACATAGCATAAGAAATCCCAGGAATCGGGGATATCGGAACCTTTGAATTAACTTGAACTTTCATTCCAGATCCCAGTTCTTATGATACGAGGTAATTGCCACGATGCTTCGCCCTGGGAGAAAACCCGGGCAAAGGCCAAGGGTAGGGTCTTTCACAGGCATCCGAAGACCTCCGGTAGAGAGTCTGCCCTTTCGATACAGGCGAGACAGTCTTGATAAATTAATCCAAGGCAAGGAGCCGAGTGCAACGTCGTGTCGATCGAAGTTTGAGGCAGTGCCGGCGGTACTTTGGCCCGGGACTTCAATATAACAAGGAAAAACACGTACTATATCATTTTAGGTTGAAGATCGGCTTCGCCCGTCCTTGTAAGCCAACGAGAAGGCGAGAAAGCATAGATTATGACGCCATGAATCGTGGGGGTACAAACAGATAATCCCCGGGGGTTCAAAGGCATATGTCAGACGTGAGTCACTTGATATACAGTAGGCTTGCGGCTCTAATTCTTGGCGGAGAGTAGCTCAGAGGTTATGATTGTTGGGGAAACCCACTTTGTCTTTTGATATGATCTGAGACACTGCTTCACCATGGCACAAGGTATGACCTTCACTTTAAGATGTTGAGAAATCATACTAATGAGCTCCTTCTCCCCAAAGGCTCACAGGCTTCTATTGTTAAGATCGCCGGCGCGGGATTTCGGCTCTCACTGCTCCTCAATGCTGCCGCCTGTCAACTCGCTCAGTCGAGGCTGGAAATTCATAGCATCGCCAAGGGGATCTCTCTTTTTGCTCTAGCACTCAAACATGTTGGGCAGACTATTGAGGGTACCGATGTGGACCAGTCTCCAGAGGCAACAGAGACGGCCTGGGAGATCGCCGGGCAAGGCCAGATGATCTTTATTGAACTCGAACACATGCTAGATAAGCTGAAGGCAACCGATAGAGACAGTGACCTTATAAAGATCCCATTGCAGGAGAGACTCAAATGGTGTTTCCGGAAGCAACATGTCACTTATTTACTAGCCCAGTTGGAATCTCTCAAGCTCAGCCTGATTGTGATGGTACAGACTCTGCAGCTTGGAAAAGTCATCAAATCCAACATTGGCGAGGGGTTTGATACTGATTCCCTTACATCCTCCGCCGATGATGCGATTGCCCAAGAGAAAGCGGAATCTCAGAACATGATCATCGTCCGATATTGGTCTGTCAAGCGCCTCGATCGTTTGTGGGATCTTGTGGAACAGGAGACTTTGGATGCCGCCAAGGACCCGACAAATCAGAGAATTAGTTCGAATTACTCGTCCAATATGGCATCGAAGCCCTTGGCTACGGCAACCAGAGGCTCGGATCCGACAAGACTGTCCATTATTACTCTTGGAGACAGTGACGTGGGTCTGAGTGATATGGAAAGATCCCCGAAGGATATGGTGCAACTATCCGAGAGCACATTGAACGGGCTGCTTTCACTCTGGGTGCCTTTGATTGACCCTTCGAAATTACACCACGCAAGCAAACGTTCCAACGCATCCAACAAGCTAGTCCAGCCTCGAGTATACGTCTCTTCAGACACCGAAGAAGACGATACCGAAGAGCTAGACTTTGATGGTCACGAAATCCGAGGTTACTACCTCGAAGGATCAACAGTGGACTGGAGAGACCCTCATTCCCAAGAGGCCCGACAGCATGCAGCAGAGCTACGGCGAAAGTACTCCAGCTACCAGGCTCACGTTGAAAGCGAACCAGAGCCAGATGAATTCAAGCATCGAGATAAGCCTCGCAGCGACCCAAGGGTCATCGACTCAAGTGATGATGAGGACGAGCAAAGAGCTGACACCCATCGGCCCTCACACAGCACCAACCCCGTGCAAGGTCACCGTTTCCACTCCAACAGCCTCTCATCCAGGTATCCTCCGGGTCACACCAATCCCGACAGTAGGTCCAACACATACCCAAGCGGCAGCTTCCCCACCCCTAGCCATACCATACCCCGTCCTCCACCACTACCTTCACACACACTACCGGGTCCTCCCCAGCAGCCATACAAATACCACCCAAACCAAGACTACGCCACAGCCCCCCGATCCATCCCAATGAACATGAACCAACCCAACAACCCAGCCATCACCATTCCCAACACCAACTCCTCTCCCAGAGGCCTATCGCCAAACCAAGTCCACTTCGAGGATCCCCGAGCCCGAAATCAGGCATACAACAACATTATCCCTAATAGCAACAAAACCCAACCCCGCTACCATCCATCCGCATACCCACTTTCTTCCTCATCCCCTGAGTCTAGCTTCCGAGCCTCGCCGACTCGCTCGGATCAACAATCTCCATCGGTGCACCCACGCCGGTCCTCGCACAAAGATGCCAAGGATCGGCATAAGGCTTTGACTCGTAATGCTACAAGGGGATTGGCGGGAATCGGGGCTATTGCCGGGTTCATGGATGCGCTAGAGGCATTTTCAATTTTATGATTTACATTGCTTTACTTTTACGCTTTTTCTTTAGTTCGGTGCATTGGGTTTTTGATTTTTCCCGGGGAGTTGAATGGGCCAAAGGTCAAATGCCTGATTTCGTAGGGATGATGCGTTGATATGCCTGAGTCATAGACTGCTTTCGACACCGCTCTATACCGTATACTGTAAATTTACTGTAAATTGAAGCTATTCTTAGTTATACATACCATATATAAGAATAGTTGGCTGGTTATACGGTCTTGTCGTGTCTTTTTAGGTGATGTGTTTGGATTTATTTTTGGCTAGTCTTTTAGATGTTCTTTTTAGGTGTCTTTTTAGGTGTATACAAGGGCGGTAAACAAAGCACACTTTGTATAAGAGACTTTGAAATCTCTATATTCCTCAAAATTGAAGCTATTCCCACCCACAAATGATCAGTTTCTTCGAATCCCCAACATCGAAAACCGTCCCGAACCGCGCAAAACATCTCCTTATATTAATCTCGGGAGATATGTTCGGTCGCAATAGCTTCAACGCCTAGAAATAGGCGCATACAGTGATGTATATTGTAAGAATAACTTCATTCTTATGAACTACCTAGGCCCACGGGTGATCTGTTATAATTCAGGTATCTATTTTGATTTCTGCCCGTCTATGTAAAATAAGGCATAACTAACTAGTTAATTCAAGCATATTCGGGCACCAAGCCTACAAAATCAGGCCTTTGACCATTGGTTGCTCTGCCCCTTCGCATTGGTTGGTCCTGGTTTCGGTTGGCTTTTGATATCCATGTTCTATCTATGCAATGAACCTATTTTGATTGAGACTAGCATAAAGTATGATTAACGAGTTGTTTATGTATTATTACGTGATTACTCCAGGGCTGTCTACTTATCCATGGGTTCGCATCTTCCATAGATCCTGGCTCTAGGGTGTTATACAGCACATTCTCAAATAGGTAAAATCCTCTCGAAATAGTGAAAAGGAGTGCTCCCATCGAAATACAAGAGCAACGAAGCATCCACAAGCCAATCTAAGAACGAGGAAGCCTTGAGACCCTCACGATCAAATGCGGGTTCGGCTTCGGCTCGGAATCAGCCCGAAGGCCGAGTACACAAGCCAATGCCATCAAAGACATATACCAATGCAACCAATGCAACCAATGCAACCAATGCAACGTACTCTGTACATGTAACATCATACCCCATAGTGCAAAAAGAGCCAAGGTCCCGAATAAACCCACATCAGACCTGATAATTCATCCCATCCCGGTGGGTTCCATCGCGGAAGTTCCGATTCTCCCGAGCTTCCGACAGCGCGTTGCGAATTGAATTTGTTCGGGCTAATTGGGTTAATGTGACATCCCGTTGTGGGATTTAGCATATTCTCTTCTTTGTTGGGGTTTCTTCTCTTTCTCTTTCTCTTTTCTTTTCGTCTTGGTGACTTGACTGTGTCTAGTTTTGCTGTGCACTGGTGGGTATGGGTATGCCTGCTGCCTTCCAGGTTCTATACTCCCATCTATATATCAGGGTTGAGTTATTGGGCTGAGCTCTACCTTTTTTGAGACTTCTTGGATCTTCTTAGATCTTGTTCTCGTCTATTGGTAAGCATAACATACTTCTCTGGTATGACTACGGGATATCAGTTTGAAATACTAACAAGCTGATATGTATATACAGTTCATATTCATGATCTATGACCTTACATAGACTGACATGCGCATCCATTCCAGGCTTCCCCCATTCAGGGTTCCAATCATCTCAAAACTCAGGCAAAGGCTGCACGCCAAAAATACTCCCATCAGGAAGCCACCCATCCAACTCCATGCCCGCCCTAGCCATATGCTGCCCAGCAGCGTTAACCGGCATCATCTGCGGCCTATATGAGTACTGAGGTGGCAACGTCGCCTGCGCATGCGACACCGAAGGCTGATACCCTGCCGTGCTCATGGGGTAGAAATGCGGGTTATGCCCACCATCCATGGCCCACATGTTGGCACCACCCATCGGTACGTACCCGTCGCGCATGCTGTCTATCGCCGGCGGCATTGGGGCCATGGGAACGATGGGGAATGAGTCCATCGTTGATGGGACTTGCTCCAAATGTGCATCTTGGCTTTGGCTTCGGCTAGGGTGTGATACTGGACCCGAGATCGACTCTGCAGTACCAGTCGACGGACTCCCCGATAAAACCCGAGAACCAACTTCGATCCCTCCACTATGCCGCCTCTCCAGCCGCTCATACCAATCCCGACCCTTGACGCCCACAACATAATACCACCGACTGGGGATATGGTACTTACCCCCACCACTAGCCTCGCTTAGCTTGTTTGCTAGGGCGTCGAGGTAGTAGGCCATGTTCACGGCCTGCGCCGTGACAACTTCCCCGAGAGCACCGGTACGGACGGAGAAATGGATTTTCAGCAGGGATGTCACGGCCATCCCGAACCGGGTGTACATGAGATTCGGGAGTTTACGCATCGTGTTCGTGCTGCAGGTCAGCACAGCGTCCAGCAGTTCATGTGCGGCGTTCATCCATTTGATGTTGATGTCGATACGGATTGCGCTGAGTGGGCCGTCCGGTGCTTCGCTGCCGCCGTTGCCTTGTTCGTCGAGGGTCGGCAGTGTGTAGTATCGTCGCTTTATTGCGTTTGGGTCGCGATAGCCTTCTCCTACGCCGAGTTCGTACATCGCTAGTGCTGTGTAGCGGTATTCGAGGATCATGGGGACTGGTTTGATGTAATAAGTTAGCATTGGGTGGTTTGTGGACGCATCATGACATAAATCGAGAGGGCTGGTGTTGCTTACCGGTGAGCAGTTCTGACGGGGTGTTCTTCTTCCATGTCTCGAGCCGCTTGTCGAACCAGCGTAGCACAGCTTGGACCCGCGACTCGGTTAGGGGCGATGTGGTACTGGTGTCGTCCAGACCGAATGAAGACTTTGCTTCATCGGTTATCCGTTGGAGCTCGAACCATGTCGCCACATGTTGGTCCGTTCGATGCGGCGAGTTTTCTAGGTGGCTGAGACACTCGGTCATCCAGTCATTGAACTGAAGCAGATTTGGACGGCGGGTTTTCATCGCAACACTCGAACCGAGATGGTAGCAGCCGAGGACTGCTCTCGCCTGCTCAGCCAGCACGTCGTCATGTTTACTGCTCTTGCGATCGGACTTTTTCGAGACACGACGCTTATTAGCTAACCCAATTTCTAGCGCCATCGTCGAGGCGATGTGCGTGTACTGATAAACCTGCAGCTTCAATGGCGAAGCGGGCGGGAGATAAAAGATGATCATCAGCAGCAGCGCTTGCACTAACTCTAGTGACTTTTCGCCTTCGATGAAGAACCGCTCTGAATAGAGACGGACCATCTCGCGGTTCAGTACGGTTGCCAGGCTTGCATCGACGGATATGGATGTCGCAGCAATCACAGAGAGAAAGAGAATTGGCTTTGTTTGTCGCAGTTGAGCTGCCGTGGTATTCGAAGGCAAAACGACCAATGGAAAGAAGAATGCGAGTTCGTGAATGAAATACGCCACCAATTGCTCTGCATCTTCGAGGGATAGAATCCCCCGATCGATCACGTCGTCTGCCGGAGGAAGCCTCTCCTGCTCGGACACAAAGCCAGCTGACATGCTGGTGAAAGTCGGCGGTGCCGAAAAGCCACCATTATCGTGCGGGGTATTTAATAACTCAGGGGAATAATCCATGTAACGGACATCCTCGGACGAGTGAGCTGAATGGTCCCGCAAGGCGAGACTGCTCTTAAAATCAGCATCGCCCGAATCATGATCCTGGACATCGTCCACGTCGCTTTCATCACTAGAATCCGGTTCTTCTTCTTCGGGAATGCGATTTTTCAACAGCGAACGCATCATCCGCATCTCCTTCTCGAGCTGAGCGACACGCGAATCTGTCCGTTTCCGGGGCCGCCGTCTCTGCGGCGCCACGAAGACACATGATCGCTTGCCCTTAGCGCATCGCTGGCATTGATTAGGCGTGGATGGGCTGGGGAGACAGCGAACCTTGAGACTTCGGCAAGACTCGCAGGATCTGTTTAATTGCTGGGCGGGTGATCCTTGAGGGTTGCTTGATTCGCCTTGGGGTGTGGAAGAGGTCTCTGGCATATTCACACACATAGGCTTGCCAGAAACCGTCATGGAATGAGAGTTTGGTGGTTGTTTCGCATAAATTATGAGACGGCCTCAATGGTACGTCCTAGTAGCGATTGTTACTGGGTATATCGAGTCATTTTATCGAGTGAAAATCGTGCAATGGGGGGGACTGACATGAAAGTCGAATCAACCAAAAGTTGTCTGATAGATTTCGATGTCAGACCCCACAAAGATATGAGTTAAGGAATCCAGGAATTTATCATGTGAAAGCTAGAAAATTAAATCGAAGCTTAACGCAAAAAGATGCTAAAAGCGTTCAGGGAAGGCTAGAAGCCCTGGAGAAGTGGAGAGGGTAAGAATCCTTGTTTCTCCGCGCTACGTTGTTGGATAGAAGTTAAAATACATATAATGTATAGTCTGGTAATCTTACATACATATATACATCAGATTCCGGCTCTCCTTCTATTTTAGTGCTTATCCCTTGCCGCTTTTTGAGTAAACCGGAGCACTTCCCGGAGTATTATATATTTACATTCAAAACTCTTCAATGTTCAACGTTATCCTCTAGCTGGGAAGCATAGGCATAGGGGGCATTTATTAGCATTACTATTCCGCGGCTATGCCATTATTTATGCCACTATTTGACTCGTTGACGGTGCTTGAGGTCTCATAGACGTGTTACACGTTAATAGATTTTGAAGAAAACAAGGGAAAGCGCATTTAATCATTAATATTACCATAGGAGATAAAATAGTTCACGAACTCTGCAGGGAATGCAATCGCCCATGTCTATAGATTGTGGCCTGGTTTGTGAGGCATTTTAAACATCATTTCCTATCTTGGTAACTCAATCGCTCAGCGCCTCAGCGCGGTTTTTGTTCAATTACGCAGGCATAAGCGAGCAGATCTTCGCGGACAGCAAAGCTAAACATAAGGTTAGATCAATCTTCCCACCCCATCAATAACATTTTTTTCCCTATCAAAATCCACATCTGAATACGCTGTTGAATATTCATACTCAGATGCCAACAGTCCAAAACTATATATATATATACTTTCAACTCCACTGGGTAATGTTAAGCGTATTATGGAGTAGAAAAAATCAATCTATGTTTTTATGTGTAATAATTACAATAGTTTCTTTATGGTACTTATTCCTCCACATTAGATATCCAGGATTAATCCTAGTATTCATCCAATTGTGCCGGACTTATATTATATGTGAGTAAACAAACCAAGTGGGCAGGCAAGATGCTAAGCGCCCTAATAAAGCGGCAACACCCGTTCGGGAAAACCTAGATCCGGTACACACAAGTACACATGTAGGGCACTACTAACTAACCGGCTCTTTCATAAATTACAGTAATTACAAACCCTCTTGCTTGAGAGGGTCCGTACTTTTTGTAAAAAAAATTCAGGGGCCGGTTACTAGTAACATTCGAGTGATCGACCAATATTCTTTCATGGTGGCTGGTTCAGGGAGGAGATAGGCACCAGCGTATAACAACCTACCAAATTGACTTCTAAATGAAACGGTTATGAAGATTGAAAGACTAAAGCTAAACATAGCGAATCATTATGCTACCATATCTCCACTGAAAGCCATTGGCATCGACAGTCCATTCATTACTGGCCTATCGAAAGTGCCCGACGGTTAGGACCGGTTGTCCTAATCGGTTCATGCGCCTTTTATTCTCGCTATAACTTCCTATTTGCGGAGACGAGCGAAATAATGCGTACTTTTATGGATATAAACATAGCTTCGCTGTGATTTTTTTTTACCATATACGAATGATTTATCAAAAATTGGAAAATACCAACGGCCAATTCTCTGAATACCCCGGCCGGTCGGTGAAATAACACTGTGTGGGATATCCACTGAACAGAGTATTAGAGTCTCACCGGGATATAGATTGTCTTCACTAAAGAGTATAAATTAACCCTTGAGCCATATCTGCGTGTCTCAATTGTTGTTTACTCCACAATGAGCCCACTTGACGATGAGCCGGAAGACGATCCTTATAAGCATGTGACAGAGGATTCGGTTAATATCCCTCTAGAAATGATATTCTCGGTATGCCGGGTAAGTGGGCACTATGGAACATTCGAGCAAAAAAGGTGTTCTTTGACATGTGCTATGTACTTTGTAGAGTTGAATGTGGATTTAAAGCTGTAGGATGCGATTTCCAATGCCAGTCAGTCAATTATATAGATACATCCAGAGTATCAATGCTAGTTTATTAAGGAGATTCATGCGGCCTCTCTGCTTGTTATTAACCAGTTGCGAACTATCTGGGTAGGTTTATCTCTCGTGTCCGCTCTGTGTCCCGACAAGCATTTTAGCGCATGAGGTTTCTGGTGGTAACGTCCGTGGTTTATGGAATAGATGGATATCTCTCTGAATATCTTTAGGTTCTATGTATGTTGTATGTGACCAGCTGACATCTTCCCCTGCAATTATCCATGGGTACCACATTCTGTTGTCAATCTGTATGTTTATTTTTTAATTTGCGTCTATAATATGGAAAACCACATGCGACAACTTCCAGAGTACTCCACTTTCATGGCCGGGACAAGTGACGCTTGGAGGGACAAGTCCACCTACAACATAAGTATTACACCCCTAGGCACGTGCTCCCATTACTTCGAGTTATTGAGCTTGTAAGCTACTACCAGCAGAAATGCTATCCTTCCGACGTCGTGAAGAGGACTGGTTCGGGTCTGCCCGGTCGCACGGCGGCTACGGCTGGAAAAGAAACCCGATCCATTATAGTCGGCATCGGGAGTCAAGACTACTTAGAACAATTTTCCAAATCAGGCAAGCTTGATTTTCATTTCCCTCTTGTTATGGCAGCAGGAAGATCCGATGAGGCTCGGGCTCGGGGTTTCTTCGGGGAGCGACCAGTGCACAACACAAAAAGGCTTAACTTCTTGTGCAGTCTTGTATAATTGGCCAGCTCCAAGCTGTGCAGGTTACCTAGGTCCCTAAATGAGCTGCGATGCGCTGCTGTTGATCAAGTCCGGGGAGGATCTACTGTACCGTCCATCTTCTAATATGCAGCTGATGGGTCTTTTGCGTCGCTGTAACGCATAATGGAACATTGGAGGTTATTGCTGGAGGCGAGTGGGATTTCGTTCGGAAGTTACCCGAGGACTTTGACACAAATTTGGGGGGTTCTTAGTTGATCATGCAATTTTAGCCGGAGATCAGCCGAAGTAGCTGGTAGCTGATATCTTGGTGAAGGGCGATCCATCTTCAACCTTAAATCCATGAACTCTATAATTGTGCGGGATAGGAGACCCGTATGCCGGGTTCCAGCTCGGGGATACTCAGAAAATACCTCGGGGATACCTAGGTACCCTGATTTTCGTTTATGTAACCAGCTAATCTCGAGTATCCCCCAGTTGCTAGACCTGAGGGATACTCGAATCACTTGATTATATAACCACAGCAGCCAACCTTGGAAGCTCGAGCTAGGAAACGGCAACGGACATAGCGTTAGCAGGATGCGCGTCCTCGTCAGCTGTGGACATATCAGTCTGGAATTTGCGTTTTACTCATAGTACCCCCAGCCACAATTGTCAACGCGGCTCAAGACAGGCTCATTGCCATGTATACAGACCCTGCAATTGTTCTTCCATGGAAGTCATCAACTCTTGGATATGGATTCCGGAAAAACCAAAAATTAGAAGAGCTGCAGGTTTTACTATCACCGAGATTAATATTCAGTTTCTAGAATCTAGCTTAATCGAAAAGAATAGAATAGAACAAAAAAACAAGAAAGAGAATAAGAATCATCTTCAAGACACAAGGTCATAAGAAATCTCGATTTCAGTTCCGACAAATTTGACATCTCTTTTCTCCTGTGCTATCCTCTGGTAATCTCTAGCTTGGATCTTTTTCTGCCGGAGAATGCAACTGAAGCATTTCAAATTTGCGATCACCTGCGCCGTCTTTCTTTGATTCGAAAGATCCAACGCCCACGCGCTCACTTCATTGATTCGCGGGTGATTGGAATACTTCCCACTTGCTAAAGACCTATTTGAAATGATTAAAATGGGTGATATCTTTAGGTATTTAGGTAATCAAAGCTTTACTTGTATAACTTTACCCAAAAATTGTCCAGACGCCATGTGAACTTGCTAGGGTCCCCAATAAACACAACTCCGCCCATTGGCCAGTTCTCGTGTAAACACTTTTGCAATAGCCAAAGAGCATCTGATGGCTGTGGGTTACCCTGGTAGGGCTGCAATTCCTCCGTTGACCAATTCAAACAGACAAGCGACCTGCTTTCTCCTTGAAAAAGCTTTGCGCGGATTTCATTGACACTTTCTAGTGCATTAGCTTCTGTCATCCCAGCGGCCCTTCTGAGTTGCTGCACTACTATACTGCTCCACGTAAGCCCGGTTTCCTGCTCCCACAATCTGACAAGCTGGTAGCCTAGATATTCTTGATCCTGGGTATAGAACAAGCGACAAAGCGGAAAGGTAGCAGAGGCGCCTGTGCCAAGAGTTCCCTCTTGTGTTCGATATGGGGTACCATTGTCGTCCCACAAATCAATCCCGTCCTGAGTGCTAGGTCATCTCTTAGCAAGTTTTATTCAACAAGGTAACTAGTCAGCATGACACACAAGAAAATAAATTTTCCCTTCGAAGAGAGGGCCTGGTTAGTTGAGCTGGGTGCACAGAGGACAAATTTGAAATTTTGCCCATCGGGGTCCTCCCAGAAAATCGCGAACTTGGAATTTCTCCAAATGGCCACCGGAGCTCCGTTCCAGCTTTGCTGATATTGGGCTTGGAATCGACTTGGCTGACTTATTCCCCACTCCTGCTCGAGAAATTGGCAAGCATCGACCAATTGTGATGGTAGAAGAGCTATTGAAAGCTCACTAGACACCAATTCCACGGCCACTTGGTGGTTAGTTGGTCCAGATAGCTTGAATGAAAGGTCCTCCAGAAATCGTCTTATGCTCGATGGAACAAAATCACGGTCGGTGGGAACATGCAGACCCTCCGAAATGGTGATAACCTCGTCCGTTTTAAAAGGTTCTTGCTGTAGTTTCTGACGTTTCCGCGGTCTCTCTGTTGTCCCTAGAGATACTTGCTGCCTTCTCGAATGTTCTTGCGAAACAAAGGTAGCGCCGGGCCCCAGAATGGCACTCACGCTGGCATCAGCTAAGAAAGACGAGCCTTTCGTGAGCTTATTCGCCCAAAAGAACCAGTCGTCTTTTCTCTGGCGATTTATGTGACTATGCAGCTCTGTTTAGATGCCACAGAGTCCAGGCTTGTTGTCTTCGATGGGAGGAGCCTGGCTCATCGACGGCAAATCAAACCATAAGAAATCGATCCTATTATCGGGTCATTAGAATGAGAACTCTGGAGAGAGATCCGGATATTTTTTTGTGGATGTCATAATGAACATATCTTTATTGGTCGTGACGCCACTGCCAGACGAGAATGCTCTCGCATATTAAGTGTAGTCGAGGACCATTTTGGTCTTTCACCATGAAGCTGAGCTTTCAGGTCATCGTAACGACCGTAGAAGTTCTGATCGTTTAATGTTTTCTCCACGGTGCTCTTCATGTAAATACAGCAGTCCTCTCGCGACCGTTCCTCGAAAGTAGCCGCGGAGTCTAAAACAACGCTTATAGCCAGTAGTAATGTCCACATCGTCATGTCGAGGACTTTGGCAAACATTTCTGGGTTGACTGAGTACCGTGCCAGGCCGGGGTGGAAGCATGGTATCTGGATACAACAGACATCCGCTCCACAGTGAATCAAGTTCAACACCACAGGACAGGCCAGTTTTAGTATAGATTTCTTAGTTATTCCTAAATATGTATCCAAGTAGGACCTGTGGCGCAGCGGTAGCGCGTGAGATTCCAGACCTCAAGGTCATCCGTTCGATCCGGGTCGGGTTCAATTTCTTTTTTTGCTTTTTTCCCCTAGTAATTTAGGTTTTGGGGAATTAGATTTTTGTTGCGTAGTGATAATTCACCAACAATCTTGTGTAATAGTCTTAGTAGGTTTGTTTCCCATAAAGACCACCTAACCAGTTGGTTGTATATATTATCCATGGGGCAACGATCCAGGCGTGTAAAATTATAACATTACCAAGCATTATTTCGACCTTCCTGGCGTCAACTGTACATGAATTTTCTCGATGTCAATACCAATTATGTGGTCAAATCGGAGAGAGACACTTTGGATAATATCGATGCCCGCTGTATTGATGTGCCGTCCATTTTCATTGATATCACTGCTGTGTGCAGATATGAGGATAAACGGCAGAATCGCCATACGAAAGCGCTAATTTGCAGGGATAATCATCACTTTGGTGTATATTATCTATTGCTATATATATATATTCTCGACGGTGGGTAATGCAGGGGAGTGACGTATCCCCCTGCGTGACAGTCTCTTCAGGGGTCTCCCGGTCAATTTTCCATACGCTTATATATATATACATATCCAGGGAGAGTATGATAGCCCGGAGGCACCTCACCCGAACAAGGTTTTATGGATAAGTCCTAGACTGTCCTATACCATAGATTAGCTTCGTTGGCAATTCGGCTACAGTCAAATAAATATCAATGAACATACCCAGGTTTGGGAGTCCGCGATGTGATCTATAGCCATCATATTTTACTTGGATGACTGACTGATTTCCCTTAGGCGCAAATGCAAGCGCTCGCTTCGACGAGGGTCGCACTGTAATGATAAAAGCCGTAAATATACCGCTACCTAAGTATCTATTTAGCTTCAGGCTTTTCAAGATGTGTATGATCTTCAGGGTCGATAGAGATAACGGCCTTTTCCCTAAACGGGACAACAACCCCCACCTCCTGCCCCCGGGGCTACGGGCCAGACCCCGTGCTGAGTCATCGCATTTTGCAACTCCAATCAGCCAGTCACATGCCCGCATGTCGGGCCCAAGCGATCCATGGATAATTTGATGCATATGCGATTACTCTCGTATTTTTGCCAGATTCCCTTGAACTACTAGGCTTCGGAGAATATGGGAAGCGAGACCCGACTTCCTTAACTCAGCGCTATGTCGTTCCATTCAGCTTCGCCAGAGGAGCTGAATCTCTTTCCCGTCAATAATAATACTCTACCTACGAATTTGACCGCCACTTTTCCCCGCCACGCGGGTGACGAACCCCCGAGCTCTCGCAGCTGTGTGACCTGCCGCCGCAGAAAAGTCCGATGCAATAAGAGGTCCCCGTGTTCGAATTGTACCAAAGCCGGTATCGATTGCATTTTCCCCCCTCCTGGCCGTGCGCCGCGGAAATCCAAGCGCCCACCGGACGCGGAGTTGCTTTCGCGGTTGCGTCGTTTGGAGGGTGTTATTGATCACCTTAGAAGCGGTGGTAATACAGAAGGTGCATCAACATCGGCCCAGGCACGGTCATCTACGCCTGGATCCTCGACCGGTCGCAGCGAACCGACTGCGCCTACGTCTGCCTCGACCGAGCCACAGAAACCACCGAACCAGGCTGACGGCGGACGTCCCTGTCCGTTCGAAGAATCGGATCCGAAGAAACTTGCTCCCAAAAAGTTTGAAAATGAATTTGGGCGGTTGGTCATTGATGAAGGCCGGAGCCGATATGTCAGCAATCGGCTCTGGACTAGTCTAGGGGACGAGGTAGATATCCCCCATTTTCTTTTGCTACTCAGCGTACTTTATACTAACATATCTTAGATCGAGGAGCTGCAAGATATCATTGATCACACATCGTCAGAGGAAGATGATACACCTTCACCGGAATCTTCTCACTCCGGTTCACATGACGGGTTCCTTCTTGGATTCTACTCACTTTCAAAATCTCTTCAAGAATTTCATCCCCCCACGCCCAAGGTTGCAATACTTTGGGAAGCATATCGGGAAAACGTGGCTCCTTTGATCACCATCGTACACCGACCGACTGCTAAAGACCTATTTGCCGAGGCAGCACGGTACCCAGATGCACTGGACAAAAATTCAGAGGCACTGGTATTTGCCATGTATCTCTGTAGCCTTGTCAGCATGAAACCTGACGAGTGCTTGAGCCGGTTCGGCGAAGACCGATCTACTGCTGTCAAGCGGTACAGGTTTGCTACAGAGCAAGCGCTGGCAAAAGCCGGGTTATTGAATACACAAAGCCTGGTCCTTCTACAGGCCGCTGTCTTATTCTTGGTCTGCGTGCGACGAGAAGATGATAGCAAGTTTGTGTGGTCCATGACATCGGTCATATTGCGCCTTGCTCAGGGCTTAGGCTTACACCGGGATGGCACCAATTTCTCTCTGAAACCTTTCGAAACAGAGATGCGACGCCGATTATGGTGGCATATCTCGCTGTTGGATGTCCGCTCATCTGAAGATCATGGGACGGACCCGCTCATTCACGAGAACATGTACGATACTCTACTGCCATTAAATATCAACGAGGACGACCTGTCGCCTGACATGGAAGAGCCTCCCAAAGAGCGAGAAGGCTACACGGATGCAACATTCTGCCTCATTCGCTGTGAGATCACGAGCGCTTTGCGGAGAGCAAATTACGTCTGCCCCAGGGCCCAGTTTCGTGCACCTAACAGTTTACCGCCCGTAGATCGTGCTGGGCGGATGATTCAAATTATCAGTGATCGATGTGAACAACGGTATATCAGGCACTGTGATATGAACATCCCCGTGCAGTGGTGCTCCGCCACAGTTGGGCGTCTGATCCTTGCTAAGTTATGGTTGATCGTCCATCACCCAATGACCCGAAGAGACCGCGGAAATGTGTCACAAGCAACCCGAGAGAGCTTGTTTCTGACTGCAATCGAGGTCCTCGAGTTTGGCCACTTGCTTGAAACTGATCCCAAGACCGCCAAATGGGGCTGGTTGTTCCGGACCAATATGCAATGGCACGGAGTCGCGTTTGTTCTGTCCGAAATATGTGTCCGACCAATTTGCCCTATGACAGATCGAGCTTGGACCGCTGTCAGTTCGATCTACACGGAATGGGCCGCGCAGGCCACGCATAAGAAGGGCATGCTGTGGCGGCCGCTCGCCGCCTTGATGAAAAGAGCTTCTGCCACTCGGTCCAAGCAACAGCAAGAATTGCTATACGATTTTGGACCATTACCCACCAGAACAGAGCCCATTCAAAGTATCTCTAATAACAATGCCCTTCCCCGGATTCATATGCCAACGGGGATGTTGGATTCGCCCCCAACAAATCGACCAGGCCCAACAGAACAGGTTATAGGTGATGCAGACTACAATATTGACCTCAGAAATGGACCAATAGGTGTTTTTCAAGACATGTTCCCTGGCACGAACATCCTAGCGACATCAAACGATCTATTCGATGCTCCACCGGCCCAGAATAATGTCTCGGCACCAAGCTTTCTTGCAGGCCTGCCCCACAACACAGACACGAGCAATCCATTCTTGAATCAGATTCCACTTCCCGAGGCCGCTCAGCTCAGCTGGGAGGAATGGGACCAAGTCATGCGTGATTTCCAGATGGATGTTGAAAATGAGGATTCTCAGCGAGCCAACACAACCAATGTCACCGAATGGTTTGTCTAGCCTCTTTATAAAGGGCGACTTCTTTCTTGCCTGAAGCTTTGGCTATTAATGATGTGATGATTCATGGTGTTGGTTACTGGATGATATCCCGCTCCCCTCACTATTACTATTCTCCTCTCTCTTGTGTATTACATATATCAGCGACATTTTGCTGTAGCACTTTATACCCAACATCAAACACAAATTCAAATAAAAAAATCCATCTAAATACATCAATCAGTGATTCCGCCATTAAACTATGAACCGAATAGTTAGAATATTCGTTATCACTTAATTGTATACTTCCAAATCGGGATCTACTCCACCACGTGATCACAGTGATAACAAGCTCCAAGCTGGCATCAACCAGCACTCTCCACTCCGCCATTGTCCACCAACCCACCGTGTTTGCACTAATTTTCCAGTGAAATCTCCATCCGCACTATCTACAATCCATTCACTCCCAATTACACACACCCAATCACCACCGAACCCCCCAAATCTCAAAATTATGGCTCCCAAGCGCCACGCGGCCTCAACTACCTCCGCGGCACCCTCTATACCCACGCCTGCGTCGGCGCCCACATCATCCAAGCTCTCCTCAGGCCCAACAACCCTCAAGACCAATGCATCAGCTGCTGAGATCGCCGGTCATGTCTGGCAGCAGTATGCATCCACAACGCCGCAGCGGACACTCCTCCTAGATGCCTTCATGGCGTTCTTGGTTCTTGTTGGTGGATTGCAATTCGTGTACTGTGTTCTAGCTGGAAACTATGTAAGTTGAAGCCCTGGCCTGCAAATGCTGTTTTGGTTCTTTTGTTTTTGTTTTGCCTCTCTTTTTCTCTTGTCTTCTATACGACGTGTGACTTGCAATTGGAAATATATAGACCGATAACTAACATCTCCTGTATAGCCCTTCAATGCCTTCCTCAGTGGCTTCAGTGCTGCTGTTGGCCAATTTGTCCTTACGGCAAGTCTGCGCATGCAAACTAGCGATAGTGGTACTGGTTCTGGATCGAAGCCGAGCTCCAAGGGGAAGAATGCGCGCTTTGCGGATGAGAGTGAAGAGCAGGGGACGGGTACTTCGCACGAAAGGCGAGTTTCTTCTATTTCTTTTATCTTTTTCATGGTGATATTCAATGTCACAATTGCTTTCCCGAGGTTACGAATACATATGCTGATCTTCAATTCCAGGGCCTTCGCCGATTACATTTTCGGAAGCTTGATCCTACACTTTTTCTGCGTCAACTTTATCAACTGAGCTGTGCTCGGCGCTCGAAGCCTCTGTTCAGTACCATGCTGGCTCATTCTGTCTGGGGTTGGTTTATTTCGGTCTTCAGATGGAGTGGGGGATGTCGTCTCTTAGATATCCTTACACGTTGGAACTTTTTTTAGCCGATCTTTGTTTTAGTCTTGTACGCTTCGTCTATGGTCGAGGTGAAAAATGTTGTGCATATTTGACCTATCTGTTTTCACAATATTGGCTTGTTGGACAAGTATATGTCATTCAAATGGCCCTATGTCAGAGACAGCCTGGTGTAGAACAGACTACTCGGAGATGAGCCGAATAAGCACGCAATGGCGGGTATCGATTGAACAAGGTCCATCCTAGATGGATTAAAAAACGAAATGATGTTATACAAACAGGGTGCCTCAAGCCCCCAAAGAAGTTGTTTTCACCGCAAAATTAGAATGCACGTCCAGGTCTCCGAGGCACCGTAGGCCTCTTGACCACACTGCTTCCAGGACGACTTCCACCGCCGTGTGCTCCATCGCCACTGGCTCCAGGTCGCGATGAAGAAGAAGAAGAAGAAGACGAAGCAGTCAAACCGCCGACCTTGCGTCCAGGTTTGATGATAGGTTTACGCACGGCGGACTTCCCGCCAGCCTCAATTTCCATTCTGCGACGGGCGGGGTCGTTGCGTTCCTGCTCGCGCAATTTCTCAGCAGCAGCGCGTTCACGGTCAGCTGCCATCTGCTCTTCGATTTCCATGCGCTTGTTGAACTCGATTTCTGTGACGCGGCGGTTGCGCTGCGAGTAGCCTTTTTCTTTGACGGAGTAGAATACACCACCGAGTTCGGCGAGCCACTGAGAGAAATGAGTTAGTTGAGTACTAGATGACACACAAGCGGGATTGGGGGAGTGGTAACCTACATGAGGATCAACAGATGTCACTGTGGACATGTATTCCTTGGAAGTCAAGAGCAACTCGTGGTAGACGACGTACTCGGGCACATGGCCGATACCGTACAGGGCACTTGTAGGGTGAAGTGCCATGGTCACGCTGGTGCGGAGGTTGATGAACTCGCCGATTCCCTTTACTCGTGCGGCTTGGTGGAAGAAGCCCGAACAGATGCACTTGCGGATGGTGTCCCAGTCTGTGCCGCAGCTGATGAGGGGCATTTTTTGTTTGGTCATGATGTCAAGAAGTTGGTCACGGACTTCCTTGGCGCGGCGGAGGGTTTTGGAGTGCAAAAAGTGCTTGGTGCACCAGGCATCCGAGTGACCGTTGGTTTTCCATTGAGTGTAAACATGGAGAAGAGTCAAGTGGTCGGATTCTGGAACGAAGAATTTCTCGCGAGCTGAATCAGATTCCTCTTCCCGTTCTTTGGGACGATAAAAGACGTTTGGAACCGAAAGCATTGCGACGATGCTTAACATCTCCTCGCTGCACTCGTATTCATCAGAGGCCATGATTATGAGCTTGGCAAGAGGGGGATCCATTGGGAATGGTGTCATGCGACGTCCTAGAGGTGTAAGATCGCCCAGGTTATCCAGAGCACCCAGCGCCCAGAGCTCGAAAAGAGAGGTGGAGATTGTCTCTTGTGGGGGAGGATCCATGAAGTCAAAGTCCAGAAGGTCCTTCACGCCAAGGGATTTCAGCAAAAGGATGGTATTGGAAAGACTGGTTCGCTGAATCTCAGGGATAGTTTGAATGTAAAGTTCGTTCTTGTAGGCTGTCTCCGTGTACAGACGATAGGCCTTGCCCGGGCCAGTCCGCCCAGCACGTCCAGATCGCTGGTTTGCATTGGCTTGGGAAATTGGAGTGACCTGGAGACCGTCCATACCCATGCGAGGGTTGTACACCTTCAGCTTTGAGTAACCTGCATCCACGACGAACATGATACCGTCGACCGTTAGACTTGTCTCAGCAATGTTCGTAGCCACGATTACTTTGCGCACACCCGGAGCGGCCTTCTCGAAGATCTTTGCCTGTTGCTCGGCCGGCATTTGACTGTAGATGGGTAAGACGCTGAGTTTCGGTGGATCATTCAGCTGCTTCAGCCTCTCTTCGACTAGATCGCAGGTTGCCTCGATATCTTCTTGTCCAGTCATGAAGACAAGAATATCACCAGCGCCCTGGGATACATGAATGGCTAAGACCTGCTTCACCGCACTATCAACATAATCTTCACAAGGTGTGCGCGAGAAGTGAAGATCAACAGGGAAGGTTCTGCCAGGAATGATGAATTCTGCGGCACCGCCAAAGAAACGCGCAAATCGTTCGGAGTTCATTGTTGCCGAGGTCACGATCAATTTCAGATCCCTGCGCCGGGTCAGAACTTTCTTGAGGAGACCCATCAAGACGTCAGTGTTCAAAGCTCTTTCGTGTGCCTCGTCCATAATGATGCACGAGTATTTGTCGAGATCCTTTTGCGTGAGAGATTCTCGCAGTAACACACCATCCGTCATATCTAGTACCTAGATTAGCTACATGATCACACTAAAGCGAAAAGGGAGAAACTCACATTTGATCACAGTCTCATCGCTCGTACAATCCTCGAAACGGATGGCGTATCCGACGAGTGCACCGAGATCAACATCCATCTCCTCACTGACACGCTTCGCAACACTCATAGCAGCCACACGGCGAGGCTGCGTGCATCCGATCATACCGAACTTAGAGTAGCCCTCTTCGTGTAGGAATTGAGTTAGCTGGGTGGTTTTCCCAGATCCAGTCTCTCCGACGACCACCACAACTTGGTTGTCCCGGATGACCCTCATTAGATCTTCACGCACGGCAAAGGCGGGCAGATACTCTCTCTGTTCGCGCATGGTTTTGCTACTGCTGAAAGTGCTGGCGCCACCACCGCTTTTCTTCATATGTTTGGCAAATTTGTTTCCTCCTCCTTGGTAGGCTTCCTCGATAGGCTCGGCGACTGCGCTGTCTCCTTCGTCCTCTTTGATGCCCATGAAGTTGCCCAGGGCTGTGCCGGCGATATTTGTCGCCTCCTGCGCTTGCTTCTGTCGTTCGCGCTGCTGTCGGCGCTCGTTGACGACCCTGCTTCCTTTCCGACTGAACACCGCCATGTCGCTTTGCGGATCACGAACAGCGGAGATTGGCTCCAGCTGCTTCGTGAAGATCGTGCGACCATCAAGAAAAGGCGGGCGGAGGTCATGGACGAGCAAATGCACTCGAGTCGCTTCTTCGTCTTCGGGCATGAAGTCACCCTCATGGTCTCTTCGTTGTGCCACACCAGAGGTGAGCATTCGATTTGTCTCCCAGTTGTCAATATCCTTTCGTTTTGCGTCGCGTAGGCCTGCAGGGAGGTGTCCAAAGCCCTTGTGTCTTTTGGCCGGAGGGCCCATATCGTTGCGAGACATGTCGTCCAGCCGGGCTTGTAAGCCAGGTTCAAGGCTGGGGTAATTCGCAATGTACGAGCTGGTCAGCTCTGCGCGGGGTTGAGTTTAAGAGAAAGTGATTCCGCGGAGTCGAACCTCTTCCTATAGCGCTCAAGCCTCACCGCCATTTATTGCCAGAAGAGAGTCACCGCCCTGGCAGTCTAGTTTCTAGTCTTCTAAAAAGATAATGCCATCAGGGGGAGTTAGCTTCAATTTATTAAAGAAGTATTTTTTTGGGAACCTGACACGAAGCAGCCTTGTCTTCACATTCTAGAAGATATGTAATTGGTGGAGTCGACCTCCAGGTCTTGTCTCGTCCCTATCGCATCAAACATTACAAACCATGATATCAGTCACGTGGTTTACCACTTATTTTATGAAGAACATAGAATTGGTAGTATAGAGTTATAATAATTATTATTTTAACACTCTTTGCAGTTAATTCGAGAATTCGATTAGGTATAAGTGATATCCAGAGCTAAAATCACTTATTTATGGGTGTGAGGTGTATCAAAAGTTCCATAGTAGTGGCCTCCACCAACACCGAAAAGCAACCGCCCCGCATCGTCATCTCAATTTCTCGAGCTTCCACTTGCCGACCACACCGTGACAAACAGCCATCATGTCTAGCCAGAAACAGATTGACCCCAAGAAGCAGCAGGGTATGCTTTTTCCATTGTCCCTACAAACCCTAAGAAATCACGAAAGCTGATGCGAACCTCTCAATCCAGAGCTTCAGCACCAATACACCAACTTCAAGAACACCCTTCAGCAATTAGCACAAAAGATTGGTGATATTGAGCAGGAGGCAGAAGAACACAAGTGAGTCACTACCAGGATTATGTGCTGTCCCCACATCGTGGGATCTTGCTAGGCTTGAATCCCGGGCTACCCCACGGAGCAAGCACAACCAGCGATGCCTTATGAATGTATAATGCTGACATTTTTTTTTTAGACTTGTGATTGAAACCCTCGACCCTCTCGCCGCAGACCGAAAATGTTTCCGCATGGTGAATGGCGTTCTAGTTGAGCGTACTGTCAAAGATGTTCTTCCTACACTCAAGACCAACTCGGATGGGTTGAAGCAAGTATTGGAGGATATGCTCAAGCAGTACAAGACAAAGCAGGGCGAGTTGGATACCTGGAAGGTAAGCGCATCTCCTGTCTCAAGGCCGTTTCTCAGCCTGAATACCCTGGGAACTTGGTATGGGCAATGCTAACCTTAATTTCCCCTTTGCAGAAGAAGAACAACATTCAGGTTGTGCAGCCTTAGTGGCATTCCTTTTCTCTGTATACCTTCAATTTACGTGTTCCCGGGTGGTGCTATCTGAGCGCGAGAGCAATAGGCTACCGGCGTTACTGGGAACGGCAAAAGACTAGACATAATGCAGCGTTGATTTGTGATTTGATATCAAACCTGCAAGATTAGCTCCTTATCATAGTTAAAAAATTTTATACCCATAAGTTTTGAATCATAGATATTTCAGCTGGGGCTCTCGGACCTCAGCAGAGTCGCATATATCAGCCTAAGCTAACCTCCAAGGTTGAAGAAAGACCGCAATTGATGCCTAACTCAAACCATCTGGTCAATACTTCAAGAGTCATACAAAGTTAGATATGCCTTGTACATCAATGTAGGTGCCTAGGATGCTTTATGTAACTACATATAAAGATGCAAGCCTTGATGCCTGACTAAACAGCAAAATGATTAAGCCATCATATTAGGTTGGGCCTTGAAGTACCTAACTTATTGAAGATGGATATGCAATGTAAAATGCAATAAAACGCGAGGAAATGAAGTTCTGAATACATGTATGATCCCAGCTTCTATAGATCTGTGACGATAGTGACACAAGTTGCACCAACTAATTAGTACGTCATTATGCTAATAGGTAATGCTTTTGAATAGTACGTGATATGATTGATTATGTGCTCTTTATCTCCTTGAAACTTAGAAGACCGGCGTTTCGTTTGTGCTTTGTCTCGATAATCAAAAAGTTGATACAATTGTAGTTCACGACCAACCAAAGCGATCGAAAGGCGCCGATCCGCCAGAACTTCTGGTTCGCCAATTAACCTCCCCCAGATCCCCCAGATCCTCCAGATCCTCCAGAAACACCTTAACTTTAGCTCCAATAAGAGATCAGATCACACTAATTATCTAAAGGCTCCCTCTTTTACGCGACTTGCGACTTGCGATTTGGGAAGTTGGGCTCTCCCCTAATCTAACGCCTCCCGAGGTCATTGCGCGTCGCATCTTCACTCCAAATCCCGACCACTTGCGCATATTCGGTGTTTGTAAACGGGTATGTTGTACGTGATCGCGTTCCATACTAAACCCGAATCCCTGTCCTTGGAAGTGCCCCATACCATTTCCCAAACACGAGGCTAATTGGTGCCATTTCGCGCGTCGCATATAACAGATCTAATATCCTACATTGTCAACCCCTGGGCTGACGCTATCCTTAAGGCTACTGTGAAGTTTGTACCCAGCCAATACAACCCTGTCTACTCTTGGAGCCGATTCTGCGCTGTCTGAAACAGAGGCGATCGCCCAGCATTGTGATCTGACGTGGTCTGACAACAGAGCACGCGAAACACACATTGACGCCCAAGCCGAGGATCCACAATCTAAACCACTTATAATCATGTCGAACTCTCCTTCCAAGGACGCTGAACTTGACCCCGAAGCGCAATCGGGAGAAGAACAAGATCACATGGACAAGGACCATCATGATGTGCAGGGACACCCGGGCGAGTTTGAGGTGAAGGAACAGGATCGGTGGCTTCCGATTGCAAATGGTATGTCGCGTCTTGCATTTGGTCTGTTCTGATTTGCGCGTACCTTGCCTTTGCCCTGATGGGCTCCTTTTCTTTCCCCCGCATTTCTGGTCTTGTCCAAAGTCTCGGATCCTTTCGTCCTAAACCCATACATATAAGCAGGATGTCTTTTCCAGATCTTTTATCGGTACAACTTACATATCCAACCCTTCCCGTTATCCCCCCCTCAATTTTGATGATCTTACGCAAAATACCCCCATGTCTCCACAACATGTTAACATCACCAATCTTATTCAGTGGCTCGTATTATGAAGTTGGCCCTGCCTGAAAATGCGAAGATAGCGAAAGAAGCCAAGGAATGCATGCAGGAATGTGTGAGCGAGTTTATTTCATTCATCACAAGTGAAGGTGAGTCTGGTTCTTGCTTGGTCCAAGTGGGACATACTAATCGGCTATATTCGCAGCTTCGGAGAAATGCCAGCAGGAGAAGCGTAAGACAGTCAACGGCGAAGATATCCTATTCGCTATGACATCGCTTGGATTTGAGAACTACGCCGAAGCACTCAAGATCTACCTATCCAAGTACCGCGAGGTAGAGCCCCGCAACCCAAGAACAATCCCTGGACCAAGTCTTGAGCAGTCGTTAATTCCGAAATACTAACTCGACCTAGACTCAATCTGCCCGTGGCGATAACCAGAGGCCCCCCAGCGCTGGTTATGGAGCTGGGGGACCCGTCGGTGGCCCTGGTGGACCCGGTTCAGCTCGTCCCACAGGATTCCCCGATTCCGAAGGCGCAAACCCTATGCTGAATCCCAACCTCGATCCATCCGAGCAAGACGCCTCCGGCTACGGCTATCCTTCCATGGTCGGCCAGCCTCACAACGGCGCGGGCGGCGAGTCATACTAAGGTATGATGCGAAGGAGCTAGCCAAGAGACACTGTACCCAATTTTCATATAGGACGCTCCTCGATAGCACTAACGAAGCAGATCTAATTCGAACGTGACCAAAGACGTCTTCTGTTTCTTGGGTGTTTATCTGCAATAGTCTCTTGGCTGATCGATGTGTTCGGGGTATCTAGAGGGCTTAACGGCTTGCCTTTTTTTTTTTCATTGGATTTCGGTAGATTAGGATTTTCGTCGGGCTTTGTATTTATTTCTTTTGATTTCGGAGTTTTGCGGCGAATTATAGGCGGAATGAGGACATCTGTATCTACGACAGTGCGAGGTACAGGAGACTAAGTCTACAATCTGTACCTCCCAATGTTGGAGTAAATGCAATATTCTTCCCTACTGCATGTCCTGTTTTGCAATTGTAAGATCTTTAACGTTGATGGTAGTCGTATTCAGCAAGTTCTTAAGTTCAGCGGGGCTCCAGAGCTGTTCCACGCGGGGCATCAGATCAGCGCTCTTTCAATCCAATTTACCCAGCATATTCGCTCGAAACATTATTCGACCTGATACGTTTATTGTCCTGCACGAATTATCCTGCGTGGAATTTTTCTAGAATCAACATTCAACCTTGGAACCTCAGGGTTCTCTAACAATTACGTCATTGGAGAAGCTGAAGAATCACCTCACACATTCAAGATGGGCACCGACAACAGGATCCTTCGCGTGGGAATAATTGGGTAAGAAACCTCATTATCAAAGCGCAGTATAATGATACTAATATCCCAACAAGATGTGGCGAAATCACTCAAGTCGCCCATATCCCAACTCTCGGCTTCCTCTCAGATTACTTCCAAGTCACCTACCTATGTGATGTCTCCGACAATGCACTCTCGCACTGTGCCAAAAAGGTTATCGGGGGTACTCCAAAGACCACCCGCAAGGCAGAAGATCTCTGCGCCTCCCCAGATGTGGACATCGTAATGATAGCCAACAGCGACGCCTTCCACGTTCCGCACGCCGTCCTAGGTTTGAAGCACGACAAAGTCGTCTTCATCGAGAAACCCATGGCTCTCTCCCTACAAGACGCGGACCGGCTCATCGATCTCGAGAAGCAATCTTCCGGAAAGGTCATGGTGGGGTATATGCGGCGGTATGCGAGCGGGTTCATCGACGCGGTCAAGGAAATAGGAAGCTTTGATCAAGTGTGCTATGCGCGCGTGCGAGATATCGTCGGCCCGAACTCGGATTTCGTGGGCCAGTCTGGGACGTTTCCTAAGGTTTTCTCGGATTACAGAGAGGAGGATGTGAAGGAATTGTCGAACAAGACAAGCGAGTTCTTGGAACAGGCTTTGACGACGGAATTGGGGATTCCGGTTACGGCTGATACTGCTGCTCAGTGGAGGAATTTGGGGAGTCTTGGATCTCATGATCTTAGTGCTATGAGAGAGGCTCTTGGTATGCCGACGGCTGTGCTTGGTGCTTCTTTGTGCTCTGCGACGGGACCGCCGTTCTGGAGGTAAGTTGTGAATTCTGTATCTGTGGTTCTGGGCGATATGTTGATCTTTTTGCTCCAGTGCACTCTTCCAATATCCTTCTTTTGCTGTGTCTTATGAGTCTGGAATTGATGATGTCCCCCGTTTTGACGCGTCGATTGAGGTCTTTGGTGGGAATAAGACTGTCAAGGTCTGCATTGATTCGCCTTATGTCAAGGGGTTGCCTACCACTATGCACATTCGTGAGAAGTTGGAAAATGGCTCATTCCGGGAGTCTGTGGTTCGGAAGACGTATGAGGATGCGTATACTTTGGAAATGAAGGAGCTTTATGCATTTGTTGTTGAGGGTAAGCCGGCCAAAACCACTTCGGAGGATGCTAAGAAGGATCTTGAGATCTTCGGTATGATTATGAAGGCAGGTCTGGAAGGACAAGCTAGACTTAACAAGGTTGTTCAAAACTAGTTTATTTTGAACTTTTGCCCATGCTGTCTGTGTACAAACCCGTGGATTGTGATGGAAAAGTACCAATAAAAAAAATAACAAAAGTCATCGCCTGGAGGCGATCCGGCAGCTTGAGATCAAACGGCACTCAAACTGAGAATGGACGGGGATCCAAAGTAGCGGTGCGCCAAATGTCGCCAACGACAACCGCTAGGCCAAATGCTCGTCCATCCATTCACATAGTGCAATGCCATTTATCATATTAAGTGAAAAAAGAGAACTGAGTTCTAAACTATATACCCTTTATCCATCACGTTCATCGATGGTTCTTTCTATTTGGCCGCTTTCCCCCAATGACCGTTCGGGCCATACTGTGTAGGAATACTAGGCCACGTATCTATGCCGTCCAAGATTGCGAGTCTAAAAGTTTGGTTAGTATCTGTTCTAAAATGCTAACCTCAAGTTACTGGCAACTTACGCCATTCCGCCAGTGAGATGCGGATCGATATGGCAGTGGAGGAAGAAAGCCTGTCTGGTTAGCGGGAAATTCGAGAGGTTCTACATGGATCAATGCCTTACCCCAGGATTTTGTACTGTCAAACCCAACCATATTAGCTTTTTGATCCCCAGAAGAAGAAAAGTGAGTGGAGTACATACCATGATAGCGAACTGCCATCCAGTTTGGCGCTTCTAAGGAAGGAAGCGTTGTGAAGGTATCTGTCCCATCCATTAGTTCCCAGAACTAGGAAAACCATAAGGAAAGCTGTGTATCTCATACCTCTCATTGGTGGGTCGACCAGGTTCAACTTATCTGGGATTTCCCGTTGAGCCTCTGCAACAGAAGTCCAATTGAACTTGCCCGTGCCAATACCCTTAAAACACACAAATTAGAATCCATACCATGAAATTTGTACTCGAAGTGTTCAAAATAACTCACTAGAACATAGACCCTGTTTGAGTGCTTGTGAATCGGATGACCAGGCTGGATAGTCGATGCTTCTCCAGACACCGTGAAGACAATATCCACCCAGGTATCATTGTTCGTAGCAATAACCAGGTCACTGTCTGCCTGTGATTGAGGGTCCCATAACATCGGCTTCTCTGACTCCAGAGACATACTGTACGAATTATCTCCATTGAGAGACCATTTCCAGGCTTTTTCAATCCGGCCAACGGTGAGCAGGTATGTTCGGTCCGCTTGTTCACTGGGTCGACTTGGGATAAGTGGCTTAATCTTATTTTCCTTCAGAACAACAACATCTGTACTGATGCTGTTTCCCCCGTAGTCGATTGAGGGTTTGCCCACGACGGATGGGTCACCGTCGACATAAGAGAAAGTGCCGTACCCGGCAATCTTTTGGTTGATTCCTGCACCGGCTGCTGTGATCGAGTAGTTACCTGGCGTCTTGTTCAATTGAACTAGAACGGAGTAGCGAGCACCGTTGTTGAGTGTCAATGCCTGGAAAAAGATTATTAGTCAGTGCAGTGCTCATGACTTTGCAGAGTATAACGTGAGATGGGTAGTATCATACATCAACTTTGGTGGGTACAATATATTGACCATCGACTTCATAGACCCAAAGAGAATGGTTGTTGATAGAAACTGTATTTAGCGAATAAGCTTAGCTTACTCCTGGAACCTATGAAAGCATAACAACGAACATACCTGATGGGATTGAGATCGATGCTGAACTGATGAGATTGAGGCTTACCCAGCCCTTCAGAGGATCAACTTCGATCACTTCTTCCATTGACTCTGTGGCATTGCATTGGTCAAACATGGATGGTGGAATTGCGGTGTAGTTATGCTGAGCAGATGTTGTTTGAGCAAAGGTATTCCGAACTGGAAGACATCTTATGTTGAACTAATCGTCAGCTTTTTGACCGGCAATTTGGAGAGTTAACACCTACCCTTTTGCTGTATAGTTCGTGCCCTGAAGCAGGTAGGTCAATGGTTTGGGAATTAGGGTGGTCAAATAGCCAGGGTCGAGGCAGCGCACTCTGCCTTTCCCATTGATCAAAATAGAATCCGCACATCTAGAGTTGGTATAAGCTATTAGCCCGATTTCTCATAATGCCTCTGTGGAACTTGCAATGTATCCAGGTTTGCAGAAACTGCAATATCCCGGAGCTCTTCTGATGTATTGTGAAACCAATCAGAAATCATCAGCAATTCGGGGTCTCGAATGGCATTGTTGATCTGAGAATGTGCCCCTGTATCATTTGATATCATACTAGCCAAATTGGCAGCAATATCTCGCGGCCTGGATGTTATAAATACTCAGTCGCCTGCGCGAATAGGTAAGATTTTGATTTGGGTAGGTATTCGCAAACCTGATGTAAATCGGCCCATATAGGCCATCCATTATTTGTCCCGCGCAATGCGAATGATACCTCCAAATGTTAGCAAAAAAGAACTAATTACTAGGTAGGAAGATCATGGACCCACTTACCAGTATGTTCCGTATTGTGAAGTAGTAAATTTGTAAACAAATCTTCCGCCAGGGGTAATAGGTTTCTGCGAGACTCCAGGCACACCATCTGACCACGATGTCCCTTGTTGCCTATTTTTGTCTCAGTGATAAGCCAAGTTATTTTCCAAGAAGACTCACTCAATGCCATGCCAATGCATCGTGGTGTTATATGGCAGGAAATTGTTCACTGTCACCTCCACATTGTCGCCCTCATCGAAGAGGAGAGGGGGCCCAGGAAATTGGCCATTGATCAAGCTTTGCTGGCGTTCAACTCCGTCGGGCGCCTTGGTGTCCCATGTTAGGTTAAGCTCGAACTTTTTGGTCGGGGCTGACGGAACAAGATGTAAAGCAGCACCTAGTCCGATGAAACAAAATAGGATAGATGGCTTCATATCTAGATTGGTGGGATCCTTGACGTTGTGCAGGTAAGAATTGAAATTACAATAAGATATTAGGAATACATTCAAAGGGCAGGGGTAGATACACGAGGGAGGTACGGATTCCGGATGGAGTTCTTAAGTATTGAGCTGCAGGGTGAAATGACTCGCATTAATAGAATAGTTAGTTCGGCTATTTAATTTGAGAACTATGTACCTGTACATACTGTGTAACTATGCATCCCTTCTCGTATGTATGTAGATCGTTTTCCAGGGGCAATTGACCAAGAACGAGAGGCTTCGGCAACCCGGTTGGGCCGTCAGCCTCGAGGGCCGACTTTTCGGGAATAGCTTGGGCCCATCTCAAATATTACATAGCTCGGAACGGTTCGGCACACTGCGTCTAGAGGAACCTTTGAAGACCACAAGCCTTCAGTCGGTAGAGCCTCACCAAGAGTCAAACGCCCCTTCATACGTAGAGCGAACAAGGGATGGAGTGTACAGAGTACGGAGTCCACGGGTGTAATGTTGCCGCGTATACCATGAATTATTTCCTGCCTAAGTTTGAGATAGATTCGAATCCCAAATAAAATGCTGGCTGCAAGAGTTGAGTTGCCACAAAATCCGTGGGGCCAAAAAGCAAGTCCATCTATTGATTGATAAACACCCCCTAAATAAGATAATTGGATGTTAAGGTCTCACTTGGCATTGGACTCTTGTTCAAATTCCTGGGCTGAAATAAGGCAGATGTCAGCCTAGGGGTCAGTGACAGAGATCATGAAACTAGAAGGAGGTGAAGCTGATATACGAGTCGCAGATCTTCCGAGGTTCGAGTTAAGGGCACATCTAATGTTGTGGCGCACCAATAATGGGTGATAGGACCCACTCCGTAGTCTCTACTCGCTATCTTCTTCTTTCCTTCCTATTTGGTTTTGCTATACGGCGTATCAAATACACTGCGCTCCGATCATCCCCAGTACCACTCCTTAGCTAGATCTAAAAATGTTGAAAACTTAGATGGCGATCTTCAGATATTTTTGTTCCATCGGTTGATCTCGTTGGTCTTCTTTCCCATTTTTGGACTGAAGCGAAAGGTTTGGATGGGTGGCCCGGAGTAAAAAGGATGTTCATTTGATTTATCACTCATCTTGACGTGCCTGGTTTATAGACCGTGCAGGCATGTGGCTTACGTTAGGTCCTTGAGGCTCTGCATATCAGGCACACAGCCCGGTACACAATGAAGACGAAAATCTCCATTATGTACTATACCGTCCAGATTTGTTCGGTTACATTAGTATAATTCTTGGATGATTCTTTTAATGAGTCAGCGCAATTAATTCAAGGCTTTGACCTACTATTACCTGTAAGCATTTCTTCTCCAAATAAGATTCATTGGTGATCCAAGTTGACAGGAGACATACAGAAAAGTAATTCATAAACTTAGGCGTTCTACAGAGTACTAGTAGACTGCATATATGTGAAATGCGTAATACTGTGGCTGTGCGTGCAGATGTATATAGATCGACCCGTGCACCATATTCAGCCCACCAAAGAGAAATTAAAACTTGCTCTTGATGTTCTAGGAGAAGATGAGAACTCCCTTGCATTGATTGAGAATACGATATATCAAATCCATGCAATTCCCAAGGAAGGAATATGACACTGTGATACGAATTTGGCCTGCCTTTACATAATCGGTTTCTCCGCATCCACGTGAGTCTCCACCAGAGACCCGATCCCGCAGTTCCCTCAACTTCCCGACATTTTTGCTTCTTTGATTTTGTTGTTTGTCGCATTATCCTCGGCAATCGTTTCGGAGTTCGCCCATAATGCCTTGAAGTGACTGGTGTTGGTGACTCGAATAATGCAGAATCGTGGCCGATTTGGACGAATGATGTCAACGGTACTCCTGCCATGTCCTCCGTCAACGATAACGCCCCCTCGCCGCTCCCGGTGGATGGGGTGAGCAAGCGCAAACAAGGTAAGCGCTTGTGCAATACCCCCTGTCTGCCCGATTACCTGATTGTTGTGTAATTTGATTTGCGGTTTCTTTTTTTTGTTCTCGGTTATCGGTTATTTTTGCGCGATCAGACTCGCTAACCGGTGACTCAAAAAACTCTTAGGCTCCGCAGCTTGTGTCCACTGCCACCGGCGCAAGGTTCGCTGCGATGCCCGTACCGTCGGGACACCCTGTACCAACTGTCGCGCCTCCGGAAAGGCCGACTGTCGCATACACGAAAAGAAAAAGCGTCTTGCAGTACGCTCAATCCTAGATCCCGTTCCGATCCGATCTCGGCCTCTACCCACATCCGATCCCACCTCAAACCCTGCTCTTGCAGCAGGGACACCATTACCACCAAGTTTTCCAACTGCATTCCAAAGCGGCCATGCTACACCGATATCTGGGGGCCTTCCGCAACATGGATTCCAGCAAGGCACGGGATCGGAGGCATTTGGCCGGCACGGCCACGATATGGCGCATGCCCATGAGGCACACACGGAGATGGAGCAACATCTCGTTAAATTGATAGATGAGGAGGAATCCGGCAGAAGGGAGATCCAAAGAGGCGTGCGTGCCTTCTATGTCGGACACGAACATTCGAACATGTCATTCTTGTTCCGACAACAACGAGAACAAGATGACGATGTATACCATTTTGCGAGCAACGAAATCCCACGGCGTCAAATGAAGACGGGTCATGATCAGCTGCTTATGGATGCTCTAACACTCCCAGAACCGGCTCTCGCAGACGAATTGGTCCAGGCTTATTTCACATATGTCAATCCGGGGTACCCCATCATCGATGAGGATTTATTCATGACACAATACCGGAACCGGGATCCTGCAGATCCTCCGCCAGTTCTACTTCTTCAAGCAATCTTGTTGGTTGGTGCGCATGTTTCTCGCGCAAAAGTAGAGCGAGACGCTCTCAAAGAAATTTTCTTCCGCCGCACCAAGTATCTGTTTGACAATCGCATCGAGCGAAATCGCGACATTCTTGTCCAAGCGGCCCTTCTTTTGACGTGGCATTCGGACAGCGCAGATGATGATGTTGCTGCAGATGCCCATTTTTGGGTTGGGGCCGCTGCACGTATCGCCACGGGGCTTGGAATGCACCGTAATCCCGTTTCCAGTAGCTTCGTGACTCGTGATAGGCGAATGTGGCGGAGAGTTTGGTTCATTTTGGTCCAATTTGATGTGTTGATCTCCCTGTCATATGGCCGACCTCAAGCGATGTAAGTCATCCCCAACGGCCAATTTGCAGCAAATACTAATCAAAATTTCAATTCAGCAATCTGGACGATTCCGACGTGTCTCCTTTGACACCCGCTGATTTTGAGAATTGTGGTCCTCTTGTACAAGCAGACTACGTGATTCATTTTACCGAACTTTGTACGATGATCTCTTATCTCATTCGTGATCGATTTGGACTTCGGGCAAGTGAGGAACGGCGAAAGGCCGTTCTTCAAGAAGCAGACGGATCACTGGCAACCTGGTCTCTGAAACTTCCTGATAATCTTCGGCTACGCGCCTCTGATATGGATCCTTGGTCCGCCATGCTTCATTTGACCTACAACAACTTCCTCATTCTGTTGCACCGGCCTCACCCCAGAGCCTCGGCCTATTCCGATGACTATGGCCCTCACGATGCAGAAATCTGCAGTGCAGCCGCCGGGGTTATAGCCTCAATCTTTGAGGAGCTCAGGGTGCATGAGCGTTTGAAGTTCCTTTGGTACACTGGCGTCCATACGCTCTTCACGGCAATGATTCAAGTCCGAGTTGAGCTCCGCTTCTCAAATCCAGTTCTTGCCATCAATGCCTTGCGCCGCTTCGATTCTGCCTCTTACTCGCTGCGCGAGTTGGCTCAATACTGGGTCCATGCTGGCACAATCCTGCGACTCTTCGAGGACTCCAAACGTCTGCAAGAGGATCTGCGGATGGCAACTACGGAACGACCTAAGCCGTTCGGCGACCCCCATCATGCGCACAAGATGCCCATTGCCTCTCCTGTTCCATCAATTACCATGCAGACCCCCGGACCACTCTCCTTCGGTGTGCCCACCCCCGAATCCACCCCTCTCCAACAAACCACCCTCTCACCACAACCCAATCCTCAATTTAATAATTGGATTGCTCCTCTCCGGCTTAATGTTGGCCCGCTGGAAAGGAACGATCCTTTCTCAAGCAGCATGCAAGTCGATTCCATCGAGCCAGCTCGCGAATATCCAGACTGGAGGCAGTTGTTTGCCTTCGGTGATGTAGACCTACCTCCTCCCGTGGGAGTTGAAGGTCTTCCCGAGCTTGAAGATGAATGGCGGCAGATCTACTGGCAGGATGCCCCCATGGCAGATCTTATTCACGATGGAGGATGGATACATAGCTAGCTTTGTCTTGCTACCTCTGGTTGATGACTGTATAAAGCTGTCATCTTTCCATCGCCTGCTCTCCAAATACCTTTTCTACTTTGACGACGAGACGAGCCATGCCAGGGCACGCAGATACACGATACATCTTTAAGAGACCATGTCAGGTCACAGACACCTACAGACCCAGCCTATGATACCATGTCACAAATGATCACATACAATGATAGAGATATACCACATCATATAATTGCAAATAGTGATATCGGATAAAATTAGTTGGGGCCTTTTCGTATATTGAATGAGTCACCTAGATCGCGCTATAATATGCATTTTCGCTAATCGCACCGCTCAAGAAACCCGCTCAAGGAAACTGCAATAAATCTAGAAATCGAACCCATGCTCACCCCATGTAGGAATAGAAAAAATGAAACACAAGACCTAGCCAAACACAAACCGCCGCCAATTATCCGCAAGCACCTGGACACCATGCCGCAACTCCCATCCACGTAGCTGACAAACTTGTCGGGCCACATCTTCCAGCAACTCATCCATCTGCGCACCCGCAACATGAAGATCACTTTCGATAAGAATGCGGTCCTCAGGCAAAGCCTTTATAACATCGCCAACCTTCTTCTCGGCAGTACCGG